CAGACCGAGAGTTACGTGCCAGCACACTAGCACAGCAGTATTTAGGGCACGGGCTTTGTTGCCCGTCAGACCTGGGTTCAGGTTCTGATTCTGCGAGCTTACTGGCTCTGTGACCTTAGGTGGTTTACTGCCCTTCTCTAACTCTTAGGTTGCTCATCCAAACACAGGTATTCTCAGAGTATCTATTTTATAGCGTTGTTGTGAATTGAGATAATGCCTGTAAAGCACAAAACCTGGCAATAGTATAATTACTAACATTGTTACTGTTAGCAGCGTAGGCATCTCACATGCATTGGGGATAGATCTGTGGATTAGAGAGGTTATCCTGAGCCTTCAGTGCGTAGCATTAACAACATTCTCTACTTAAGCATCAACTATAACCACGTCATTTAAGGACAAGTTTCTGCCATTTCCAGTGCTGGCATCCTTTTGTTCTTTATGATTTCAGTGGCAGCAAAATTTAAATCTGGGGTGGACACTCCGCTGTCCCAGAGATAGCTTCACTGTGATCAGTCACCCTAGGCTGTCGGCCCAGCCTCGGGGAGCATTTGATGGGGAACACTCCCAGTGTGACTCAGGGTGTCTCAGACAAACCTCAAGGTGCCATTCTCCCCAGGTTTTGGCAGAGACTATACTGGATTTCCTCAGGTCCACAAAGTATTGTGTTATAAAAACTTGGTACTAGAAAGACAGACGAAACCCAGTCCATTGGTTTCTGTGTGTGTGTGCGTGCGCGTGCTCTGGCATCCTTACTGTGCAAAAGCTTGTGCAGAATGCCGGTGAAACTGCTAGAAGCGGAGCTGTCTGGTTGAAGCAGAGGTAGAGGCCTGGAATTGCTTCGCCATTGGCACCCCCACTCTTTGAAGCACTTCCAAGGAACCCCCAGGATTCTGAAGAAAACGATTTGATAAACACTAATAGAATCCCCTTCTTATGTAGTTTAGGAAATGGGGTCTCAAATGCATCACTGAACTGAGGCTTGTCATGGCCTAGAATGCCTTAAGTGCCTTGTTCACTTAATAATTAGTGCTTAAACAGAAAACTACTTGAACAACAACAACAAATTAGGGCTTAGGAAGATGCAGCTACTTACAGAGTACGAATTGAGTTTAGTATGTTCCTTCCTCCCCCTAAATCTATTCCCAACTCCTGGTATATTTAGTTTCAGGATCAGGGAGCGAGTTCAGAAGGTCCTGTCTGGAAGGCCTGGGTGAGACCACTTGCCCGGGCCATGAGATTCGGGGCCGGCTTGGCAGGGGCGGGGCAGTCGGCCACGGCAGGAGAGAAACCTGCGGAGGTGGGGACTGGGGAAGCCTCCAGACAGGCTGCTCCCAGTCTTGCCTTGGTTTGGCCTGTGGATGATCTTGGCAGGAATTCTCTGCCCATGTTGTGCTTGCAAGAGGTGAACTTGAATGAAAATGTGAAGACTTTTTTTTTTCTCCTCCTGACAGCTCACAAAGAAAGTGAACAACATAGAGACCGGCTGGGCCTTGGGCGCCACCTTCCACTTGCTGCAGTCTCTGGGTGTTTCCCACTGAGGCCAGGCCTGTGCCAGCAACCTTTTCAAAGGGAGAAGATGGCCCGTGGTGTTTTGAGGGAATGTGGAAACCACCTGGATTGAAACCCAGCAGCTGGCTTCATCAGGAGGAGGAAGCCTTTGTAGACAGGTCTTGCCCTTCAGTCTAGAGATTTAATTAATTTTACACATCTACTATGAACTGTTATGTAACCATTCTGCTTGCACAGCTGGTACAGAGTCTGAATCTTTGAGCATGCTTGTGTTTCCCAGAGAGCCAAAATGAGTAGCTTTGGAACTTAACCTTGGAGAAGCCAGGGACTCATTTCAGCCCTTTGAGTGCCTCATTTCTTCGAACGTTTTAATTTTCCTCTCACATGGTAAACTCAGCTGGCTGATGGCATTCCTGTGGCCTGTCAACACCAGTATTTTTTCCCTCCCTGCACATTGCCCTGTCCCGATTGCCCTATCACACCCTCTTCGTACAACAGAGGAGAAAAGTCTGACTTGGCTTTTCATGCTAATTCAAGGGGAGAGAAAGTCACCACCTCTGAAGTTGTGTGGTCCTGCTTTGTGCTGGCTCCAGTCAGCCAGCTGAGAGCCATCCTAACACTTGGAAGGATGGAAAGCAACTTCTACCTGCACAGATTCCGGCCTTAAGAAAGGAGGCCATCCAGTCTCTAAGGACATGTTTTTGGAGGGTGTGGCTGCCTTGCATAGGCCACCTTCTTTTAATCAACTTTTTATAACTTAACTGTGGGATTAATGAACATGTCCAACCTCATAGGAGTATGTGTTTATTCAGTGCCAGTACCTCCTTCCAGGCTGTGTTTATAGTAATGTCATCCTAAAGTTTTTTCTTTGTATTTCTAAGAAATACCTCTATACCCTAGCTTTGGTCTGTGGCCAGAGGCCTCTGGCTGTGCCATTCAAGGATCTGTATTTTGGGGTCACAGCTTTCAGTTTGTCTTTTTATTCTGTTCATAGCATCTCCTCCTGCCTGGCCCTGGGTCATTTTAGCTAACATCTAAATTATTTGTCTACTTCCAGGATTTCTGATACCGTTTCTTGATGATAACCTAACATTTGATTTGGTTGGCCATTTCAGCTTCAATGCTCTGAGCTCTTCATTTTGTGAATTATTTTCCCTAAAATTCATTAGCTTGTACTTCCCTACATGACCACCACCGGCCTGTCTACCCACTCGAGTGCTCTGGGGCTTCAAAGATCTTCCTGTGGACCGGCTCGTTTATCTCGGCCCTGAACCCCCAGCAGCTTTGCAGCGGAGACTGCATCTCCTGGACTTGGGGCCTCCACAGCACACTTCCTCTCCTCTCACAACATGCTGAATGCCTGGCCCTCACACTAGTTCCAGGGAATTTTAATTTTTAAAGTTTTCCCACTGAGTCAACAAATATTTAACATCTGATGTGCAAGTAACTAGGCAAATTTCTGTATCCTCCTCCCCCAAATTTTAGTTGTTTTTTAAATTCAATGTGGAAATTTTTTACTCTTCATACTTTCATTACACCAAGGTCACCTTTATACCTACTGTCTTCCTCAAAAAATGCTAATATATAACGAGATAGAATCTTTCGAGTTGGAAACAGCCCCCAGATACAATCCAGTCTTCTAAGTATTGCAGAATTCCCTTGACATCTCGAGCTGGTTCAGCTTCCAGTTGGGCGTGTTCTCAGGCAGCTCACTCCACATGGGACCGCACTGGCGGTACAAAACCCCCTCACACGGAGCTGGACTCTGCCTTCCCGGTGGTCTTCTCGAATCCCTCCTTTCATAGCTGTTGAGTCTTTTGAAGAAAATGCCTCCAGGTACTTTGTGGCCACTTCTTTAATGTGACACATGGTTTCTAGACCCCTTACCTCTTCTGTCACAAAGGCGGAGTGCTGGAACCGGTTGTGTGCTCCATGCTGTTCCCATGGTTAGGGAGACCAGTTTCTCGAATAGAAACCAAGTTGTTTTCCCGAGAGGTCAGCTGTGTTCATTGAAAACTCCTCCAGCTTGATGAGTCCCTGGTCTTCCTCACATTTTTTTCCTCCCAAGTTTTTCTCATAAACAGAGGCTGTTTAGACTTCTTTGGTCATTCCAAGTACTTCCAGAATTCTTGGATAGATACATTAACTTCAGAAATGTATCTACATATATTCTGAAAACCTTGAGGAGAACACTTGGAGAATTAACCAGTTTGTCCATTTTAGAACCAATTTAGAATGAGAATTTTTATTTCTTGGAGAAAATGACTTCTCTATAATGTCCTTTCTGCCCCTTAGTGTACCTTTTGGGCCTCTTACTAAGTAACCCTGTAGAGTGTGATATTGCTGGTGAAGTTTCTTTTCTGTGTGTGTGTTTATGTATTTCAAGTCCTTAGGACATGGCCTGGCACATGGGTGTGTTTTTCGTCATCATATGAAGGACATCCTCTGTGGGTTATGGAGGTCCTTGCAAGGTGTGCCTTACAGTTCTTCCTATCTTGCCTGATTTTATTTGCAGACTTTTGGAGAGTTTATGTTCTCCTTACCTGGGCTACCTTTCAGTTTTTTTGGAAGATGACCATTTTTTCTCCCCTATAGATGACCTTTCTAGACTCTGCTAGTAGTCGTGTGACTTTCACTGTAGTTGCCATCTTTGATTGTAGGCACATTTTTCCTGAGATTCCAGGAATGTTTGTGACATTGTCACTTTTTTACTTTACTATCTTATAAATTTTCTACATTTGTCTGAAAAACTCCCCTGCAGACTGTTTCTTCTCACTTCATCATCAAAGCAGACTTTTGGGCAAAATGTTCTTTACTGTATACAAAGCCAATGGATCCAAACATCTCTTCAAGAGGCCTCTCTGGCACTGGGAAGCGGGCTTCTCAAACACCCCAGGGCCCCCAGCCACCACCAGTCTGCAAGCAAATGAACAAATTCTGCTGCTAATTAGATTTTCCCTTTCGACGTGGTTCCTGGCTCTGGTCTTCAAACCTGTGCAGTGAAATTACTGTTTTATTACTCGACAGATGGAGTCCCAGAGCGGAACCACAAACAAAACTGAGATCTGGTGCTGGGATAAGGAATAACTACCATTAATAAGATTTGGTTTCCTTTCAGAAAGTCCAGTGCACCTATAATCAAGGTTAAAGCAATTTGTTAATTGTAAAACAGTAATTCTAACAAAAATGCATAAATTTAATATTTATAATTCTTATCTATATGAAAAGAATTATATAAATTTGTGACCAGCATTTTCAAAAAAACTGTATAAATCTTTTCTTTAGAAAGGATTATTAACAAATAAAAATGAACAATACAGCACCATAGCAACTTGTTTTAGTAATAAAAAGCTCTTTTCAACAAAAATCACAATAGTCTTTCTTCGGGGTTTTTCTTGACTTGATTTTATATGCCCTCCTCACAGCAAACTATCACTCATTATTTGGACTCCACAGGCCCATGAAACAAGGGAGAAAAGGAGACTAGAGAATGCTAATAAAAAGTAAATTTATTAAATTAAATCTTGAAACTCTGTGATGCTTTTGGGAAAAGCGTTCATTTCTCTTCAACATCATCTCCAGAAGAGGAGCGTTCATCTGCTTGCAAAGGCCATAATCTGTTCCTACAGAGAGACGAAACGGAGTGAGTGGTCCCCGGGCACTGTAAGGTGCGAAGGCACGTGGGGAAAATACTTGCAAGTGTCCACAGTGATTAAAGCAAAAACTTAGCAAAAGTCCCAGATACTTTCCCCGAGAGTCCCTCCAAAACGTCTTTAAGTGGGTATTTCTCCGAGGAAAAAGGCTGACCAAGCAGCCAAAGGAGTTGAAACATCTTTATCTCTGAAAGCGTCTATGTACTTACTATTTTAAGCCCTTCCTTATACTATATAAAGTTACTACTTAGATGGGCCCTAGCACTGACAAGCCCACCAAGGGACTTTTTTGCTTATAACCACTGGGGAAGATAAAATAACTTTATAGCCAAGAAACGAAATCAAGTCTTGGCAAAGTCATTCTGCAGTGAGCGACTCAGCCTCTCAGCGAGACACAAGCGACCTCTTACCTTGAGTGGCGCTACTGCATTTGTGGCCTGCAGGCCCCACGTCCTGAGCAGCACGAGCGGAGTGGCACTGGTGGAATAGAGCCTCTTTAGCAGGTCCGTGGCAGCTAGCAGAGCGGTGTTGTGCCGCTGTCTGTCCGTCTCATAGCCTGTGAGGTGGCTCATGGAGCCTGGAAGAAAGAGGAAGATTACATCCCTAATCCAGGAGTGAAGTTTTTTTTTCTTCTAGAAAACCACGTACATTTATGTCCACCACATCTGGCTACTGAGGGGCCCTTGAGGGCCCCGATCTTCCCTAACTGCATGGCCTCTGGATACTTCTCTGAAGTACCTCAATCCTTACCTAAGTCTTTCCCATTGAAGGCAGCAATACTGAGGTGATGGACCAAGCTGGAGACATCCCCAAAGCCCATGTTGACACCTTGTCCTGCAAGTGGATGGACTCTGTGGGCTGCATCCCTAAGAACAAATCAGAGTTGAGGTGTGGCTCCTGGCAGCCGAGTGAGGGGGAGTAGCTCTGCTCTGCTGTGGTCTTACCCGATGAGTGCCAGCCGAGGCCGGACGTACTCAGCAGCATGTCCCAACCCAAGTGGAAACTGTACTCGGCTTTTGGCGTCCACCCTGGCTACACTAGGAGGCAGCTGGCGAGCTGAGACCTTGGTGGGCTTCAGAAAGGCAACAGCGTACTGCAGCATGGTGCTGGCCGAGTCAACGAGGTCTGTGTGGTTCGCATCACTCCACTGAGTGGTGTCAGCCACAAAACAATGGAAAACTGCATCAGTGACCGGCGGGGAATTGAAGATTCAACAAGGGTAACAGCACCTAACGTGCCTAAAATGATCCATACCACAAGAGACAAATGCCTCAAATACATGCAAAACACGGCTTCCCACTGCTCCCCGTGGGTTTTAGGATCACGTTAAACTGCTCCTGAGAGGCCCCTGCCTGCCTCTGAGCTTGACCTTTCACTAGTCCCCACCCCCAGCCTGCACTGGCCACAGTGCATGGCTCATCCTACGACATCCTCTGGCCTCCGACACGCCCCTCGGCTTAGAATGTCCTCCCACTTCCAGTTCACCAGCATCCCACCAGAGGCTGTCAGCTCTTTTTATAACCCCCCTCCGAACTCCTGGGAGTATTAACCTCACACTTCTACCACTGTACTGAAATTGTCACTTAGGTACTTTTCTCCTCATGTGGCCATGAGCTTCCTAAAAGGGGGCTGTGTCTCATCTGTATAGAAGGCACTCCTAAGTATTGCTGAATGATTGCACTGCAAAGGCTTGTGCAAGGGATATATGCGAAGTGACCCACAGGAGGGCGCCATTTATCTTGGAAGCCACTGCAGCATGTTCAGTCCGTTTCATCATTGCTGCTACCGAGCAGCGAAGCTCAAGCTCTTCAGTGTGAAGTCATGAGTGAGGCAGCCGGGTTTGCTGGCTCAAATCACAGGCGTGAGGGCCGGCCTCATCTCAGAACCCAGCTCTGCACTAGATGTGTGACCGGGGGCAAGTTACCTCTCTCTAAATGAGCGACATTAATAGTACCTACCTCAGGGTCACAGATTTAAATACGAAAACACAAGTGAAACTCTTCACCGGTGCCTGACACATATTAAGTTCTCAATATATGTTACCAATTTACTATTAGTGAATTTAGATAAATAGAGCAAACTCCAAAAATACTGCACCATATTATGTAAAAACTGTATTACTGGAGAATAATCATTACTGTTTGCTGAGCACCTATAATGTACAAGGTACATCGCCAGCATTGTATATAAAGTCTCTCATCTCATGTCTTTAGACTTTTATTATTATTATTGATCCCTGAGAGGTTGAAGAGAGTATTTCCATCATTCAGGTTACTGGTAGTACCAGTACTAAACCCATGTCTATCTAAAGCTTACTCTTAAGCTCCCTAGTGAAAAGTGCTCAGCCTGTCTCCAAAACATTTTTGATGATTTTGGCTTTAGAGGTTCAGGTACCTGGGACCGAAGAGCTGATCAAGACTGTCCAAGTATTACAGCTTCAAGAAAGGCCACTGCTAACTACCACCAGGGTAGCCATTTCAACTGGCATAACAGCAATGCACGACCCTCAAAAGAGTGCACAAGGCACTGATCATCCACGGAATCCAGACCCAGCCTCCCAATGACAAAAGGGCAGCTGGCTGGCTATTTCTTCTTCCTGCTGAAGACCACGGTCCTGTGCCTACCCCTGCCACACATCACCAGGTGGACAAGCTGACACTCACAAAGGCGGAGTTGATGGCATCCACGAAGGTCTCCTCATCCATGCTGACCAGCTCTGCTGCGTGTTCGTGGGATGTGGACCAAACCAAGGAACTCAAGGTGTCTGTGAGCTGTCTCAAGAGAACAACACCAACACTAAGGGCTAAAATTTTGTTCCTGTACCCTCTCGGGCCTAAAGGTATGAAGGCGAAACAAAGTTAGCCTGGGGCAATTTGCTTGAAACCTGCACAAGACTGAGAGAAAATGAAATCCTAAAAAGAGGAAGGCCGGAGTGTTTAAGCATACTAGCTGGGAGGACTTCTTACCGGGAGCAGAGCGATGGGCCCAGAGGGAAGAAATCTCTGCCAGGCTACATTGTTCTCTGTGGCCTGTCGTAGAGAGAACAGGTCTGGTGAGAAGGTCAAACGTTAAACACCCGCAGGGCCCCAGACGGTGGGCTCAGGACCTTACCTCTGACAGATGCAGAGTAGCCACCACGGCAGACTGGTCGTAGTTCCAGCTAACGTGCCGGATTCCAGCGGCCTCCCGCACTGCTGAGTTGTGACCATCTGCGCCAATCTGTGTGAAGACAAGAGCCTGCTAAGTCTGACAATCTTTTCACAGATGTAACTGTTCCAAAAGTTTGCCCCTGCCTCCTAAAGATTTCTCCAGTTCCAACTGCGGGCCAGCCCGTCTGTGGCAGGCCACTTGCTACCACGCCTGCCTCATGGACAGCCCCTGAAGGGGAGCCCTACACACAGGACCCCAGCCTCAGCCAACAGACTGCAGCTGGGCATCTGATCCGGGAGGGGCCAGCCACAGGGTAAAGAAACCCAGCCAAGTCCTCTTGCCACTTGAGCTAGAAAGCAACAGGCAGGCCTAGAGCTGAACAGTCCTGCTGGGCGGTGAGCAGTGGCTGCCAGGGGAAGGGGAAAGCTGACGAGGAGAGAGGAGGACATGGAAGATGCAAAGAGATGAGGAACTTACAGGACTCCCAAGAGGGAGAGAACAGCCTCAATTTCTGACACTCTGGCTCCTGTCCCTGTGAGGCCAGCTGTCCTCTATTTCATGACCTAAGATGGTCCAGGAGAATGCGTCCTGTACAGGATTTACAACAAGACCATCTTAACTTGAGCTGGCTTAGTGGGTACTGGTCCTTATAACCAAAGGCTCTGCCTGAAAGTAACATCAACTTTGGTTTAGGTGTAAAACTAGAGGTCCCAGAACTGAGGATAAGGTGTCCGGACATGCAAGACCCCTGGCGAAATAAGAATCTTCAACTACCAACAATTTGGTCTGGAGGGTGCTGCCATCACCTAGGGTAACATGGACCCAAGGGCTGGAGTCTGCCGTGGACAAAGGGTCAGGCCAGGTATAGCTGGCGGCTCTGCTCCTGTAGAGAACAGTCACTCGGTCTAGGGGGGTCAGAAGAGAGAAAACAAAGCATTAGAAAGGCGGCCCACACAGGCTTGGGAAAAACCTTAACCAAATGGAAGCATGGTCCCAGGACAGCTGCCTCTTGTCGTTCACTCCTAAACAAGAAAGTAAGATGCAAAACCAAATCAAACCCAAAGCAATCCCCTCATGACGGGCACTACAGTCTGAGAGCTGATGGATGACGAAACCCAGACGGACGAACCAGTGTCCAACAGAAAGCAAGCTCTCAGCGCATTACCAGCCTCACCCAGGCACTGCCCCCTCCGGCTCCTCCAGCTCACTCTGCCCTCGGGGAGCCCACGTGTGCCCTTGCTCTCGGAGAAAACAGCGAGGAAACACCACAGGCTCAAGGAGTTTCATGAGATTTTTCTTCCCACTTGTCTGATCATAAAAAAGACGTGCTCACTGTGAAAGTCTGCACACAGAAAGGTTTAAAATGGGGGTGGGGGAATCACCCCCAATCATACCACTCAGAGACAGCTCCAGTTAAAGCTTCGCTGATACAGCTTTCCAAGCAATTTCCCATGGGTGTGTACGCGTGCACACACCCTCACACACCCAAATGGGAGCACGTGACACGTGCTGTTTTTCACCAATATATTACGGGACACGTTTCTAAATGACTAAACATTAGATGTAAATTATCTTGAAAAGCCGCACTGAAGTTCACCACATGGGTGAGAACTACTGTCTCATAGCAAGAAGCATTTCAGTTGCTTGCAATATTTTTCTCTCTAGAACCCTGAAATATTTGCAAAGCATGTATCAAAGAAAGGATTTATATCTAGAATATATAAAAAACTCTTACAACTCAAAAATAAAGACACATAATCCAGTTTTAAAATGGGCAAAAGATTCTTAATATACCTTTCTCCAAAGACATACTTGTACAAATGGCTGATAAGCACATGAAAGATGCTCAACATTATTGGTCAGAAGGGAAATGCAATCAAAACTACAACAAGACACCAGTCCACAGCCACCAGCATGGCCATAATTTTTTTTTCAAAGGGGGAGGGCCCTGGCCAGGTAGCTCTGTTGTTAGAGCATCATCCCGATAGGCCAGGGTTGTGGGTCTGATCCCCGTTCAGGGCACATACAAGAATCAACCAATGAATGCACGGATAAGTGGAACAGCAAATCAGTGTCTCTCTCTCCCCCCCTCTCCTTTCCCCTCTTCCTCTCTCTCTCTATAAAATCAATTTTTAAAAAACAATTTTAAGAGTGAGGAAAGTAAGTACTGGTGAGTATGTGAAGAAATTGGAACCCTTATAGACAGAGTGGGGCAAAAGTAGGTATACAGTTGTTCGTATGGAAAATAATACAATAATTAGTAATACAAGAATAAACTGTTTCACACACAAATGTAAACCTACTTCTGTCCACCCTGTACTGGTGTTTGAGAAAGTGAAATGGTGCCACCTCTTTGAAACAGTTTCATAGTTTATGAAAATGTTAAACTGCATTATTATATAACCAGCAATTTCACTCCTGAGTATTCACCCAGAAGAAACGAAAGCTTGTGTCCACACAAAAGTTGTACACAGATGTTCACAGCACTATTCACAATCACCAAAGAGTGGAAGCAACCTGAATGTCCACCTGTTGCTGAACGGATAAACAGACATGGTCTACCCACGCTATGGAACATACTCGACAATGACACAGAACAGAGCGCTGACACATGCTACCACATGAATAAATAGCAAAGACACGGTCCGTGGGGAAGTCAGACACAGAGGAACACAAACAGTTTGGGTCTGTCTCTGCGAGCGTCCAGAGCAGGCAAACCCTAACAGGCAGAGAGTGGACGGGTGGGGCCCCGGGCCGGGGGTGGGGTGGGGAGCATCAGAAATGGGCACGAGGTTTCCTTTCGAGGTAACGGGAGGGTTCTAAAATAATATGGTGCTGGTGGTGGCCCCACGCTACACATGTAATAAACACTGTCGAACACTTAAAATGGGTAAATTTTATGGTATGTAAATTCTGTGAAAGAAAAACAAGAAAGAGGAAAAAGAACCACCCTGACAGAAGTACCAGAACGTTTTCTTGCAGCGGACATTCAGTACCCGTAACAGGGGTCCCTTCTCCCAGTAAGTCCTCGAGTATCCTAAAGCGGGTCACCCTCCAGAGAACGAAAGGGAGATGGGAGGGGCGGGCACCTCACCTGACACGGCCTCCAGCTGCTTAGTGAGGGCATGCATGATGACGTCGTTCTCCACGATGTAGCCCATGTCATCTAAGTCATCCTTATCGAACATGATCAGGGCCTCTGAGCAGGCATCCCACACCTGCAAACACGAAGGGGAGGTCTGTGTCACAGCCCACAGAAAAGGACACAGTATTCCAACGAGAAACACAGGACTGCCTTCCCAAGGGACAGAAGTGGGAAAACCACAGTCTGTCAGTCCATCAGGCAGGATATACGGAGAGAGGAAAATTCTCTTGGGAGTGCTCCCCTGTACTTCCTTAGACTGAGTGTGAACTTTGTCTGATTCTTTCCACATTCACAGAAAACCTGGAGAATGTGGATTCCAGCATTTTAACACAAGACAGACCAAGATATCTCGCCAACAGGGATAAGGGAGCACCTGCATTCGCCGGAACGCTCTGTATCTCATGTTGCAGACGTGGTCCCAGGCACCAAAACCTACAAAAGAAAGGATCTATGTAGAGGCCACAGCATCCTGCCTGGGCTCCCCTTTGTCCCTCCATCTTGTTAAGTTAGAGGTTGTTTTCAGTGTTCTCCGTAGCAGAGAAATACTCTCTACTTCTGTCCTGTTTGATGGTCGGAGCTAAGCTACTCTGTTCCCCAGTTCAGGTTATACAGGACGAAAAGAGACCCAGCTTTCATGATCAATAGGTCAAATCACATTAAAGTAGGGGAAACAGCCCTGGCTGGTGTGGCTCCATGGATGGAGTGCCAGCCTGCAAACCAAAGGGTCACTGGTTCGATTCCTAGCGTAGGGCACATGCGATGGTTGTGTGCCAGGTCCCCAGTAGGGGGCACTCGAGAGATTGCTGTTTCTCTCCCTCTCTGTCTCCCTCCCTTCCCCTCTCTCTAAAAATAAATAAAATCTTTAAAAATAAATAAAGTAGGGGAAATAAACAGAAAAACTAAAGCCATACTATTCTTTTTTTCTTTATCACCCTATTCAAGTTACAAACTCTACGGATAAAGACTATTTTTTGTTGAACTCCTTGGCACTGAGGAGAGTCATTCACTGAGGAAGTGTTTATAGAGCCCCTTCAATGTGCCAGATACAATTCTAGGTACTGAGCAAAAAACGGGAAACCAAATGGACAAAGTCCCCACACTTCTGTAGCTGACAATGTAGTTTATTATTTGTACTAAGAAACAAATACATAATACAATGTCAGGTAGCAGTAAGTTTTATGAAGAAAAATAAAGCAGTATAAGGGGCTAGGGTGATACAAGAGTCCACATTTTAGATGGGATGGCTCTAGACTGGACGCCCTGGGGCAGGAAATTCGGCAGAGACTTAAGACAATGAGCTAACAACTGGCCTGCGTGTGCATGTGCATCTCCATCTCTGGGGGTGTCCACGCCACGGCCCTCGGGCTGCCTGCAGCCCAGGATGGCTGTGAGTGCAGCCCAACACAAAATCGTAAATTTACTTAAAACATTATGAGTTTTTTTGTGATTATGTGTTGCAGTGTAATGTGTGGCCCAAGACAACTCTTCTTCTTCCAGTGTCGCCCAGAGACAACAAAAGGTTGGACACCCCCACCCCAAAAGCATTTACTACACAGGCTCTCTAGCACCCTAGAGGGTCAACTCTGGGAATGAAGAGAGCGCTGCTACTGGAAGTGAATGGTCATAATTAGTTCTTATGGTTTTACTTCCACCAATTAATAATGACCCCACATTACAAATGAGGCCGACATGATGAGCCCACACATCCCAGAGATGTCTTCCTCAGACTGGGAGTTAGCACATTAACAATTTCAGGAGTCCTCATCTTCACCTATGCACCAGACTACAAACCCTCACCCCTCTCTCCCACCCATCTCAGTGGGCTCCCTCCTCACCAGATGCTCTGGTGACTCCGCCCTATGGGGCACACTGGAAAGCTAAGAGAGACAGGAGATTGGTTCTCTGAGGGAGGAGGTTATACTCACTACTAAGAAGGGTCGCCGAGCCAGGGGAAATGGAGCTGACCCTATTGCTGTATGTTTCTGGCAATTTCTCCAATACTTTCTTAGGACCTGCTTCTAGCAACAAGATTTTCTTATCATGAAAGTGAATATCATATCCTAAAAAAAGAAGAAAGAAAAATTTTGTATCATTTTAGGCAAATCAAAATTTTAACTTTTTTCATTTCCAAGAGAAGCAACAAAATGGATACAAATTTTTTAGAAGGCACACAAAAAGGAAACCCTATGCAGAGCCCTAAGCAATAACATACACTGTACCACCATTTCAATATGCAAATCACGTTAGCAACCAATGTAAGGCTTCTACAGACAGTCCGACATCTGCCATCTGCAAAGAAGCAAATTATGGCAAAACCCATAATGAACCAATAGAATTGCCTAGAAAGGAAGAAAGAAGTAAAAAAAAAAAAGTAAAACTGTAGTATTTAGACATCAGGTATGTCCAATCTCCAAAGTATTACATCAGTGAAAGTTGCAAATCCTGTTCAACAGAACAACGTAGTTAAAAAGCAAAATTTGCTGTGGCCTCAAAACTGAACTAGATTCTAGTTCAATCTAGATAAAGAACTAGAGTCTATAAAGAAAGAGGGGGCAAAAATAAGACAATTGTGCCTATAAGTCTTGTCCTTAAACATTTTGTACAGAAGGAAAAAGGAGACTCCGGGAGTCCATTACTGATGTCTGCAGCACATTACAGTCAGTTCCTCGTGTCTCAGAGGATGTAGGTGAAAAAATAAGCAATAAGTTGCTGCTGCCAAAAGAGGAGGAAAAAATGTGATAGGATTACCAGATCCCGCTCCCCACCACACACACACACACACACACACACACACACACACACACTCCATGCCTGCCTATGAAAGGTATGTAAGATGGTGCTATGAAAAACTAATAGGTAAAGCCATTATGGGACAAACTCTTCCCAGTGATTCTCATTCTCAAAGTGTGGTCTTCAGATCCCCATCCCAGGAGGCATTTGTTAGTAATAGGCCCCACCTGGCCCTGTCCAGGTGGCTCAGTTGATTTAGAGTGCCCTGCACACCAAAAAGGTTGCAGGTTTTATCCCTGCTCAGGGCACAGAAGAATCAACAAATAAATGCATCCATAAGTGACAACAAACCGATGTTTCTCTCCCTCTTCCCATGTCTCTTTCTAAAAATCAATACATTAAAAAAATAGTGGTAAGAGGGTGAACTTTATGGTATGCAAATTATATTTCAATGAAGCTGTTAAAAAACAAAAAGCACCTAACCCAATGCAATAATCCTCATTGCTTCCAACAGTGCCCACAACTAAATAACCCTGAGCAGGTCTGTTTCCTCACAAGGTGGAAAGACTCTAAGGTCCCTCCCACTCTTGACCCTTCAGAACGCCTAAGAATCAAATGTTTGCCCTGGGGCCTGGAGCTTCTCTGGAGGGAATGGGACACAAAATCCACAATGCTCCCTGGCTGGCGTAGCTCAGGGGATTGAGCAAGGACTGCGAATCAATTCCCAGTTGCAGGTTCAATTCCCAGTCAGGGTACAAGCCTGGGTTGCAGGATATGACCCCCAGCAACCGCACACTGATGTTTCTCTCTCTCTCTCTTTCTCTCTCCCTTCCCTCTCTAAAAAATGAGTGAATAAAATCTTTAAAAAAAAACCCCACAACGCTCAGACTTTGGGAACAGTGCCAGGGTTCCCACGATCCTCACCGCTCCTTCACGGCCCCGCTCCCCCTGGCCTTGGATGCGCTTACCCAAGGCACAGGCCATGGCGGCGCCCACCAGGCCTCCACCAGACACCACCACATCGTACACGGTGTCTGCCAGGGCGCCGGCCCCTCTCCGACAGGAGACTAGAGGGCCTCTCCAGGTAGCTGCAGGTGCAGCCCCCGACCGCCTAATGGCCAAGAGAGCCGCCATTGTGCTGACTCGCGCCGCACTTGGCACCCCGCTGGCCCGCCCACAGTAGCACTTCCAGAGCAAAGCCCGCCAATCACTGGCCGCCTCAGCCCCGCGGGTTTCAGACCGGAAACATACCGAGCAAAGAGAATAGGCCAATCGGAAAGCGATCCTTGCCTTCTTGGGCGGGATAGGTTGGAGGCTCCCTGGGCAGGGGACTGGTTAATGCATTCGCCTGGGAGCCAATCAGAACCCAAAAGTAAGAAAGGGGCGGGGCTTAACGCGTAGCTGGCACAGCCACCGCAGCCACCGCAGCCACCGCAGTTACTGCTCTCACCTACGCTTTTGTGTGTGTCTGTACCCCACGGAGAAGATGACCGTGGGGAGGCCTGCGGGAGTCTCTGGCGGCGCTCGGAGCCTTCAGGTGAGGAAAGAGAAGGGGAGGAATCAGGTATGCGCCCCGAAAGTGATCCCTGAGAGGAGACTGTTTGATGTTGCCTTGGAGACAGACGGCAGGGGCGTGCCCCCGAGGGGCGTGGGATTGATTAGCTTTGGCAGCAATTAGAAACTCCATACCCGAACCCCTTGAGCCTCACGTCAGGTTCTTTGTAGAACCATAGCAATCAATGGCCCTCTCAGTTTTCGCTTATCCTCTCAACTACTCTAGGACTAATAGTAAGATTGTTGTCTCCATTTTGTAGAAGAGGAAACTGTGGCTCAGAGAAATTAAGAAATTTGCCTCCAAATCCATAGAAACAGAAAGTAGAGTGATGACTGTTTAGGGCTGGCCAGGGAGTGTCGGGGTGAGGAGGAAGGTGAGATGCGGAAGGGTCCGGAGGGTTAGGAAAATGGAGTGATTGCCACATGGTGCGGGGTTTCTTTTTGGGGTGACTAAAATGTTCTAAAGCTGTGGTGATGGCTGCACAGTTCTGTGAATATACTAAAACCCGTTGCACACTTTAAATAAGTGAATTTCATGAATTTCATGCGATGTGAATGATATCTCAATAGTGTCATTTAAAAAAGGAAGTTATCCTAAGATCACACGCTCCTCAGTAGCGGAGTGGGGGCTAGAGCACACACATACCTTTGACTCAGAGTCCAGCGTTCTTTTCACCATTAGAGCTGGACCTTAGAGAACCCAGTAAAGTCATCGCCAAGGTCACCTGGAAGCCTGCAGCAGCCCGCTCCCGCTGGTTTCCAGCTGCAGTCAGTCAGCCTCTAGTCCCATCCTGGTAGCACCGTGCCGGCAGTCTGAGGATGTCTGGTGCCACAGTCCTCCAGCCACCCTAGCCTTCTTTCAAGAGTCAAGTTTGTTCCTGCCTCAGGTCCCTGCCTCGAGGCCTTTGAGGTTCCTTGCCCCCAGAAACCACTCACACCAGATCTGAGCAAGGATGGCTCCTTCTCATCAGTCAGGTGTCAGTCCGAAACTCCTCCACAGTGAGAAAGTAAAAATCATCCCAGGCAGGGCTGAGAAAGGACAACTCAGACTGTAACAGACACAGGTGAGGCCAGTGGCAAGATCAGCAGAAAAACGGTGCTTCTCATTGGACCACAAGGAACCTGTAAGATGCCTAAGGCCCCCTTATCAGTTGTTTAACCAGCCCCACTTTGTTCGTGTCACCTTTCGAATACAAACTGCTCAATCGTCCACTTACTAAACTATGCCCTCTTCATGGCAGCATTCTTCCAGTGTTGATCCCTGCTTCCCCTTACTCTTGTCAGAATTATCCAGGACAGTCTAACCCTAGGAGAAGGCCCTCTCCCACCCTCTTACTGAAAGCTACCCCCGCCCACATTGTCTATAATTTTCCATGGTTTACTGCAGCAAATTAATAAACCCAACTCTGATTATAGTACAAGTATACACATGTATCACATTATATCTCTGTCTCTACATAGATATATATAGTCTTTATTTGATGGGCTTTTGTAGCCCATCATATAAAGAAAGCTCCCCATAGCCACTCCATCTCTGTAATCTCAGTTTTATGGCTTTCACTTATAGCATCTCCCTCCTTTCACTAAAATGTAAGCTTCTTGAGAGTAGGGACCTTGTCTTGTTCTCAGCGTAATGCCTAGTACATAGTAGTCGCCTGATACATATTTTCTGAATGAGTGGAGTATTTAAACCCCATTGGGTTTCCCACATTCTAGAACATTGTTCATTCAGCTATGCCACATGGTCTCTTCTGTTAATTATCCACTCCTAGTAACACAGTGGAAATCAGCTAGAATATGAGGAAAGCAGAGGTGTAGACAGGGGAAACAGGAAAAGGAGGATGGCAAAAGTTGGTAAAACCCAAGTTGGGCAGGGCCCAAAGTGTGGCCGGCGTCATGGGTAGGACTCCTGGAGTACAGGGGGCAGAATGCATGGAACACAGTCGGTAGGTGCTCTGTAAATGCTCATCGTACTGCATGAAGCAGGGACCTAACTTTAGCTCTTTGCTTCTCTCTTTCCTGTCCTTTGTCAACTGAAGGTCGCTGCCACAATTCAATGCCAACAGAAGTTCCCAATTTGGGGTGCAATACAGGAGAGCTTTCATTCAGTAAAACAGCTCAAGTGTTGCAGCTCAGTTTGCAAACCTGGGCAACACAGCCACAGCACAATGCTGGCTTATATAGAGGAGGGTCTTCCACCTGGTCCCTGAGGGATCAATTTTCATGCACATGAGGAATCCAAATGTACACGGTTTGATTAGTCCATAGATTTCACCTGTTATGATGGGTCAGTAAATATGCAAATAAGGGTATAGTTGCACAGCTCCAATTGGACAGGGTAGGTCTTCAGCCTGTTGGTTGAATTACAGTCCTGAAGCACTATTATAAGGGTCAGCTCAGATGGCAGAAACAGTGCAGGCAGCTCAGCCTGCAGCATTTCCCTGATACTCAGTGTGCATCTCTGTAAACAATGGCCACTATACTCTGGTTATCAATTTGAGCCCAGTTCACCACAAGGAGCCCTTCCTGGCTGTTACATTCTTTCTTGGGGTTGATACCTCCAACCAAGCATACTCCACGAATTTGAGAAATTTCTTTAGAGCAACGAACACATCTTATTTTACTTTGTTCCTCCCAAGTCTCTAATACACAAGCTTATTCAAGGTGAAATTAGCGGTTCTGTTTTGAATACATTTGAAATTATAGTTTGACCCCAGTCTATTCTATTTCATTTTAGATATTTCCCCCCAAATCCTCCTCAGACACAGAGGCAGAAGAGGAGCTGTCTGGGAATGGGCTGGTTTTGCCGAGGGCTGGCAAACTTGATGAGTTCCTCAGCCTAGAGGAGACAGATTCTACTTCTGACTCAACTGAGAGCTTTTACGAGACCCTGCAAGCGCTAAAGCAGAAAGGCAGGTGGTGCCTGTCAGAATCCCCTCATGAGTCTGAGCCAGACAGTGATGAGAGCCTCTCTGAAGATGAGGACCTGGAGAGGTTCTTCCGAGACAAAGGCAGGGAGAAGCCACAGGCCCGGGACCCCCCGGCTCCAAGGTAAGGCACTGCAGTTTAACAGCTACCATGTTTTCCAGCTCTGCCCCAGTCACATTCCTCTTCCTCAGCAAAGCAAAGGCTGTTACGTAAGTTGCCATGTACCCAGGCTCCAGCAGAATCAGCTTTCAGGTCCAAACATGTGTTCTGATTCCTACCCAGCAGTTCTCAATCACTTTGGGTAACAGTTACCTGAAGCATTGGAGTTGCCTTTCTCAAGCACACTACCTCCCTGAGAGTGACAACAAGGTGCATTGACCTTGGCCAACCCCCATTTGCTAAATGTATGTGCACTTTATCTCATTTAATATTTATTTGCTCATCCCAATAACCTTTTAAGTAGCCGTTATTTTTGTCATTCTGCAAATGAGGAATTGAGGTTCCAAAAGAACCTTGCTCACGGTCACACAGCTGGTAATGTTTTGAAGCAAGATTTGAACCTGGCTCTGTCTGACTCTTAAGCCCTGCTCTGCACCATTGTACTGTCCCCCATGTGAAAATAAATTTGAGTGCAAAATGGCAATTCTTGGATCACTTTTGAGCAGAGATTACCTACTAAGGCTGATAGATGGCCTGTGGGAAGGAGGACGGACAGGTTGACAAATGCAAAGGCTTTGAGGCCTGTGGGTCTGTGATGTTAGGCTGAGAAGCTAGATGCAGCCTGCTGGAAGGGAGGACTAGGGCAGAGCCGGGAGGAGGATCTGGGAGGAGCCAGGAGAAGGATCTGGGAGGAGCCAGACCCTCTGGCTGCCCTGTCCTCCAAGCACAGGGCAGCTGCTTTCTCCCTCCAGGTGTGGCTCCACACGACGCTGCAGCTCCCTGAGCAACGTGCCCTCTGACATTCCCAAGTTTCAGTCCCAGCCACCTGCAGGCTCCAGGCCTCCTTCCCAGCACAGAAGCATCAGCTCCTGGGCATCTTCCATCACCGTCCCTCAGCCGTTCCGTATGACGGTGCGCGAGGCCCGGAGAAAGGCCCAGTGGCTGGCCTCACCGGCCTCCTTCGAGCCAGAGAGGCAGCAGGCCCAGAGGCAGGGCCAGGAGGAGGCTGAGTGCCACCGGCAGTTCCGGGCACAGCCGGTGCCTGCGCACGTCTACCTGCCCCTTTACCAGGAAATCATGGAGCGTAATGAGGCCCGAAGGCAGGAAGGGATCCAGAAGAGGAAGGAACTGCTCCTCTCTTCTTTGAAACCCTTCAGCTTCCTGGAGAAGGAGGAGCAACGAAAAGCCGCTCAACAGAAGGAATTGGCTGCCACTGCTAAGGCCAAGGTCTCCAAGCAGAAAGCCACCAGAAGGATCCCCAAGTCCATTCTGGAGCCAGCCCTTGGGGATAAACTCCAGGGTAAAGACATCCTTGTCCCCTTGCTGCCGCTGGCCTGGGGGTGCCCTGGGGATTTAGTCAGGCTCGGGGGTCAGCCTGACTTGGAGAGGAACTGTTCAGGTGGACCTGCCACGCTCAGTGCAGGCCAGGGCATTGGGTTGGGTCTGTCTACCTAAGGGGGAGCCCTGCACGGAGCAAGGAATGAGAAGAGGTCTTGCAGGGCCCCCCAGCTTGTCCTGCGGACCTCTCCCTCAGTGAGCAGATGCAAGGCCTCCGCAGCAGCACACATGTGAGAGCAGAGAGCCAGTGAGACAGCCAGTGACCAGCTTAGACCAGTGCCACCACTAGCCGGCTGCCCCGAGGAAAGCCCCCACCCTCATCACCCTGGTGAGGTGCTCATTTCAAGAAGTGCAGCTCAAATAAGAGACTCAGGCTTTCTTGCTTGTTCAGTAACATGTGCCATGCCCCAGGCACTGTTCTAGGCTGCATGGACACATGGCAGGGAGACAGATTATAGACACATAATCACAATTGTGACAAGACATTTGCAAGGATTACAGAAGGAAGCCAGGGCGTTCTACATAACAGAGGGACCTAACCTAGGGCATGGTGAGGGGTGGGCAGTGGGGGTCCCCAGAGAGAGCGAGCACAGAGGCTGACCCTGCAGGATGAGCTGTGTGAATTTGATGAAGAGGGAGGAAGAGTGCACCAGGCACAGCTAGAGTGTGGAGGTAAGAGAAAGCTGAGCCCCTCTGGGGGGTGGGAAGGTAGAGGAGAGGGAGTGTGGGGAGGGGAGAGGCAGGCTCAGGCCAGACCTGGGGCTGTGCAGGCCTTGGGAGGGAGTTGGGACTCCACCCAAGGACACCAGGGAGCCACTAGAGGGTTTCAGTAGGGCGGGCATGGCCAGATCTGCAGCTCAGGAAGACTGCTCTGGTTGCTGTGCAGATGCTGAGGGGGGAGGCGCAAGACTGGAGGGGCGTTGATCTAACAGGAGGCTATTTCAACAATTTAGTTAAGAAATTATGAAATTAAGAGCAGGGATGATGAAAAGAGGACTGAAGACAGGTTAAAGGGGTATGAGACAGCAGAACAAGTGGCTGATGAGATGAGGGAAGGAGGATTCAAGAATGACTGGGGCAATGGGCTTGGGCATTTGGGTGGGTGGCGAGACTTTCTCCAAGATCGGGAGTCCCAGGAGAGGAGCAGGCAGCTGACCGTTCTTCCTGCTCCTCTCTGGAGAAGGAACTGTAGACAGCACTCAGTGGATGTGATGGTAGCTGATTCTGCCACCTGATTGGCCCCCGGCAGTGGTGTTCCAGTCAATGATTATTAACAATCTCTCCAGGAAAAAAAAGCAAGCCGATTTGTAGCGATTGCCATTTCCCGTGGTATAAATATGCCTATCGGGGCCAATTTCAGGCTTCCCACATGATGTCAGCTGGCTCACAAAATTCCTGAGAAGTTAACCATCAGCTCCGGCACATCACCGCTAGTGTTTAAAAGAGAGAACGTTCTCCAAACCCTTTCGTATGAGTCTCAGTCCCCTCTCACTCATCACCAGCCTGGTTTCTCTCCACAGAGGCTGAGCTCCTCAGGAAGATTCGCATCCAGATGAGAGCCCTAGACATGCTCCAGATGGCCTCCTCCCCACTCACCTCCCCCAGCGGCAGAGCTGACCCTCGGCCCCGCACGGCCACCCGAACTCGGGAGGAAAAGCTTGGGTTTCTGCACACTGACTTTGCATTCCAGCCTCGGGTGAATCCTGCCGTCCCTGACTATGAGGCCCTTTACAAGGCCTTCCAGAGAAGAGCTGCCAAGGGAAGAGACACCCGAGAGGTGACTCGAAACAAGCCCTTCTTGCTGAGGACCGCCAGCCTGTGTCGCACTCGGAGGCCCTGTGATGCTGCCGCCACTAGAGGGAGGGAGGTGAGAGCCCAGGCAGTTGTAAATCGGGGGGTGGGGGGGGGTCTGAGGCCCAAAATCCAAGGAGGACCACATCTCAAGGCATTTTTCTAGATTTTTTTTAAACACCAGTTCAGGTGTAACCAGATCCACAGACCCACAATTCCTATAAACTTAAGACCACAAAAATACTTCTTTTGCTTCCCTCTCTCTAGGGAAGTTGCAGAAATAAGTTCAAGCAGGTCTGGAAGGCAAGGAGTTGGGATCAATTGTTACGCCCCTATACCCATTCCAAAGAACTCTTCTCATTTGATTAAAAATTTCAGGATCGATATCCAGGTCTGTCCCAATTACTAAACTTGAGCTCTCATTACCCTGCACTTTAATCCCAAGAAAAAAGATTCTTGTCTGACTAGTCCTTCACTGAAGTTGATTCCAGTTCCGGTAGAAACTAATCACACATGCTCTCCCACCAACAACACCAGCCTTCGTTCCCTCTAGGACTCACCACAGCCGCCCACCACGCCCCGGCCGAGGAGTCATTCCCTGAGCGGCCTCACTTCCCTCTCCGCCAACACCCTGCCTGTGTACATCACAGATGCCACCAGGAAGAGGGAGTCCGCAGTCAGGTGAGTGGTCAGGCTGCAGAAGACCCATAATGCTCAGATCATGGCCCATGTGATGGAAATCACCCTCCTGCTGGGCCTCCTCTCCTGTCATCAGAAAGGCCCAAAGGGGTGGGAGGGAATTCTCTGGTCAGGACAGAAATACACATGGTCCCCCACACTTAGTGCTGGAAAACACCTCGCTGTCATTCAAAAAATACAGGGGCTTACTCTGTGCCAGGCATAATGTTAAGGCTGGAGATGCCTTGTGAAATCTGTAGTTTAATACCTAGTCTAAAATATAGCAAAGCAAAGAAGCAACTACCTTATTTGGTGATAGTACAGTGACGAGGGAACACAGGGGACTGGGGGGGCAATAGGAAACCTGGGGCAGGGGTCTCTCGTAATAGATGTTTACAGTGAAAGCTGAAGAAAGAGGCATAGATAGGCCCAAGCCTGGAAAGAAAGAAGGTTCCAGACGCAGAGAACAACATGAGTAAAGACCCACAGATGAAAGAGGAGGGAACCATCGGGAACAGGAGTTCAGAGAAGCATGGGGACGGGCGGCTGGCCCTGCCAGAGAAGACGAGGCATCCATTGCACGTATTTGAGATTCTCTGAGACGCATCTTGGAGAACCCTCAGAAGTCTGTTGGGAATTGGGCGCCTCCTTATTTTGAACTCTGACCAACCGCACTCTGTCAGGGTGTTGTTCTCATCAAGCCACAAGAGCTGCCCCACTGGGCCTCTGACCGAGGTGAGCAGAGGACGAGCATCTCGGGGCTTCCCCGTGCGGCTCACGGGAGCACACGGAGCCAGCCTGGCCCTTTAAGGCCCACGAGGGATTGTAGAGATGTACTGAGAATCTAAGGGATATTCCCCTTTCCTCAAATTTCATAGAGCTACTGAATCAAGTCTAAGTGCCTCAGTATCCTGAGGTCCCAGTAAGATCGGCGTCAGGAGCCAGAGGCTGGCCGGCCTGTGGAGGATGTCTGCAGATGCCCTCGAAACAGGGATTTGGACATGCTACCAGATCAAACTTCAATGTCTCCTTCCTAATCTGTCCATTTGAGTGTAAACACCCAAATGCAGGAGTCCTGACTGTTTTTTCTTTTGGTAGAATTCTCCACAGTACCCCATCGAATATTCACAGAAACCAAGCGCTACAAGTTGACCCCAAACCGTGCATCAAAAGGGGTCCACTTCTAGTTTCCTAGAGAGATGCAGATTTGTATTCCCAAGGGGCCAAGCCTCCAAGCACCACCGAGCCCCCTGGTCACAGCACAGTTTATACACCGGGGGCAGAGGCGTGGAGTCAGATACCCTGGCTCTGATCTTGGCTTTTCCACTGGTGCATAGGGTAGCTTGGAGCGAGTGGCTTACCTTTGCTGAGGCTGCGTCTCCTTGCCTGTAAAAAGAGTATCATACTCTTAGTTGCTAGGGCAGTTAGGGTTACACAAGAGGACGGATATAAAGCACGTACGGGTTGTCTGCACTAGGTCAGGGTAGGTGGCTCAGCAAGTGGTAGGTAGCTGTTTGCATTTTGCTTCAGAATAGGCAACCAGCTAGAATGTTTGGCTATTTAAGTAAGGATGTTTTAACTCAGGTTTTTCAGTTCAGTGAGCGAACTTCTCCTGGGATGGAATATCACTGTATCGAGTGCTGTGGAGGTGTCATGTGCCCCAGCATTCAATGCCAGAATCTTCATCTTCCTGAAATGCCAGGGAGGTAAATTACCCACCCCATGCACAGAAAACACCGACTCTCCAGAGAGGTCACCAAGGCTGCATTGAAATATACCCAAGTTGGTCATCTGTATTCTTTGTCTGCCTCCCCACTTTAGAAGTTCACTCGAAAAGAGGGACAGAGCGGATGAGAGCACCCAGTGGCTGGAGGCGCACAAAAAGAAGCGTCAAGCCATGTCTCAGTCTGTGGCCTTGCGCGCGAAAGCCATGGACCCCCATAAGAGCCTGGCGGAGGTGTTCAAAGCAAAGCTGAAGGAAAACCGGTCAGTGTCCTCCATGTGTCCAGGGTGGACTGTCTTGGGACCCAACAGATCATTGGCCTTGAAATCGGCAAAATGGGGTTATTAGGGTGGGCTCCGCTAATTACACAGTCGTGGGTTTTGCCAGGCACAGTGAGGAATTTACAGTGTCCATGGGTCTCACTCTGCTTAATTGGAATGAAGGGTATTCTGGATTGGAAAAAGACCGATTTTAAACATCATGTTAATCCCAGGAACAATGACCGTAAAAGAGCAAGAGAGTATAAGAAAGAATTGGAGGAAATGAAGAAGAGAATACAAACAAGGCCCTATCTCTTCGAACAAGTTACCAAGGTAAGACTAGACCACCATTCATTTTCTGTCTTTGATGAAAGGGCTCTTAGAAATTATGAAATTTACTCTCTGAGCATTAAACATTTCCTTGAGGCTCAGAAAGATTCTAAATCGGGCCATTTTATTCCTACCATCTTCCCCCAAAGTAAGCAGTGTGATAGTGAATGTTGTTGGGCTAATTTCACCAAGACTGGACTCCAGGGCATCTGTAATGGGGTATTTCACTTCCTGGAGTTTTCACTGAGTCTGGCTTTCAGTCTGACTCAGAGCAGGGGCTGGATCCCAGACGCACAGGGGCAGTTTGGCTGCGCTAGTAGGTGCACCTCTCACTTACTAATGTGACTGAAAACCCAGTCTTTTCTGCTGTCTGGAGCCACCACTCAAAGTGCTGGGGAGACGGCTCTCCTGCTGCGGTGCTGGTGCCCTGGGCATCCGAGGCCTCGAGATCTGGCACATTTTTAGGTCTCCCAGGACTGGGACACCCACAAGCACCCCGCAAGGCCCCTTCCAGAATAAGTGCCTTTCAGGCTGGAAGAATCATTTTAACACGTTCTCTCGACTTCTAAGGAAGTCTAACTCAGTTGAGATGTCCCTAAGGAAGCACAGGAGCTACCTGAACAGCCTTAGAAAGGCCACCATCTCGGGCAGCTCTGGGCTACATCAGATTCTGAGGACCACTCTCCTCTCCAGAGTTTCAGGCAAAAGTTGGGGTTCCCTAGTGACCTGGTTCCAAATGCTGGGTATTGTCTCCATCTTACAGCCAGTGCATTATCTGGGCCTTTCTTGGGTCCACTCCTTCCCACCCACATGCCTGTCACATACTGGACTGTCTCGGATTTACTTAGTAGCTTGTGTTGTTCAAAAACTCTCACGCTGACCTTCTCTTCATGTTTTTTCAGCAAGCTCATGCTCAGAGCTCAGCAGGCTTTTTACGACTCTAGGAAAAATGCAAAGTACTTGACAGGATTTTGCTCTCAAACACTTAAAACAAGTGAAAAATCTTTTCTGGTCCACATGCAGACCACCTATCCTGTTAGTGCGGCTTATTTTGTTGTATTTTAATGTTCCTGATGATGTTTGGTTCCTTACAAATCTTCAGTTTGCAGTCCATCATTTACATCTCGGTCTCACTTGGTCTTCCAAAAATCCAAGTCTTGCTTCTCAAAGGTGTGGCTCTCTAATAGATATCTGGCATCTCCTGGGACTTAGAAATACAGAATTGCAGGCCCCATCTGAGACCTACCAAGTAAGAGTCTACACTTTCAACAAAATGTTCAGGTAGTTTCTATGCAGATATGCGCCCACTAATTGGGAAGGGGGTGTGAGCAGTATTGTAAGGATACAGGTTAAGCTAGTAATTTAGAATTATCAAGTAATTCACGAGACAGCTCCAGCAGATCGATTCCCATCCCACAGGACCTTGCCAGGAAAGAAGCCGAGCGACGGTACCAAGACACCCTGAAGCAGGCCGGGCTGGACGAAGACTTTGTGAGGAACAAGGTGCGGGGCACCGGCGCTGTGCACTGGAAGGAGCGGTCCGAAGTCCACCGTCACCCCAGGTGCTCTAATCCGGGGTGCTGCTGTCACTCTGCAGCTCTCTAAGGTGCCACTGCTGTAATGCCCCTGGCAGGAACCTTTAGAAGAGCCATTCATTTTGAGATCACTATCCTGTAACTGTAGGATACCATCCAGAGATCTCCAGGTAACGCATTTGGATTTGGAGATTAGTGCAGCTGTGAGTGAAGTATCATCATTGTATGTAAGATCTGGATTCCTAAAATCTGAGACATCTTTTTTCCATTCTAGTTCCAATACCATCAGTCAGAAGTGTTTCCACTCCATCTTTGAAAAGTCAAGTAGCCCTGGACAGTGTAGCTCAGTTGGTTCGAGTGTGTCCTGTACACCAAAAGGTTGGGTGTTCGATTCCTGGTCAGGTCCCAAACCTAGGCTGCAGGTTTAATCCCTGGTTAGGGTGCTTACCAAAGGCAACCAATCAGTGTTTCTCTCTCTTGCTTCCTCTCTCTTTAAAATCAACAAACATTTTTTAATGTTTATTGACTTATTTTTTTAGAGAGGGGAAGAGAGAAAGGAAGGGAGAGAAACATCAGTGTGTGGCTGCCTCTTGCACACCCCGTACTGGAGACCTGGCCTGCAACCCAAGCATGTGCCCTGACTAGGAATTGAACTGGTGACCCTTTGGTTCACAGGCCGACATTCAATCTACTGAGCCACACCAGCCAGGACTAAACGTATTTTTTAAAAAAGAAAAACCATGTATATTTTTTACTTCCCACAGAGTGATAAAACTGTCTTTCTAGCACTCTTAAAAGTAAGTTGTTAGCATCATCTCCGCCACTGAGATCATATAAGGTGAAGGGAGAAAGCACAGTATTTCCAATATTCTCAGTTTCATTTCTTAAGTCCTACTGGCCCCTTCCCCTACTTCCTATCCCCACTTTCCACCTAGAAATTTCCTTTTATATCATATATAATGAAAATGTTGAGACCATCCATAAGCTTTACATAATGCTTTAATTAAAAATTTTTTCATGTTTTGATTTATTCTGTAGCACCCATGAAACTACAAAACGCAGCATCAGAAACCCACAGCAAGATTTGGAAGAATCTCTAGAACAGCCTACAAGCCCCAAGAAAGAACAGGAGGAGCTGCCTTATGAATTGCTAGATAATCTGAAATCACTTGCTTAATCGGTACTCTTAAAATTACTGCTTTTCAGTAATATTAAGCAGCCAGCATGGGGTTGAATCAGGCGGGCAACAACTGCGTTCAAGGTAATCAAAGTGGAGCAGCCCGGAGTGGAAGGAGCAGAGCCAAGTTAACTGTCTGTCCTTCGCGCCTCGCACTCCAACGTGAGGACAGAAAGGGCGCGAGCCTCCACGCCTCCAAGGGCCATTCAGAACCTAAGTGGGTCAGATGGGCTGGCTGTGAGACAGCAGTAGGAGCCTCTGCTGGAATACAGACCTGGGATTGCCAGATCAACTGCATTTTCAACAGAAGCCAGAAACCCACACACTGGCAACTAATTTAAAAATGCCCTGGCTGGTGTGGCTCAGTGGACTGAGTGCCAACCTGCAAACGGAAAGGTCACCAGTTTGCTTCCCGGCCAGGGCACACCCCTGGGTTGTGGGCCAGAGCCCCAGTTAGCGGGGAGGCAGCTGATAGATGCGTATCTCCCACACTGGTGTTTCTCCCTCCCTCCCTTCCCCTCTAAAAGTAAATAAATAAAATCTGAAAATAATAATAATTACCTGGGACTATTATATGGGCAAAAGAAAATGGCTGGGGGTTGACAGGTTTGTAACTTCTAGTCCAGGGCTTGTCAGCCTCAGCACCTCTGGCATTTTGGGCCCGATGAGTCTGCTGGGTGCAGGGAGGGGAGCTGTCTTGCACACTGGAGGAAGTTTAGCAGCGTCCCCGGCCTCTGCTGGCTAGATGCCAGTGACACTCCTCCAGCTGTGACAGCCGAGTCTCTCTAGATACTGCCGAAGGTCCTGGGGCGGTGGCGGGGAGCAAAATGTCCCCAGTTGAGAACAACTGCTCTAGTATAAAAGGCCATAACAAGTAAAAACTGGCAATTTTAAGACTATAAGTAAGGGACATGAACTCAGTCTACATTACCCCAGGATGATCACACATGTCATTTAAAACGGTTCTTTCCCGTTCTCCATTGGGAATGTGATCTGTGCGCGTGTGTGTGTGTCAGCACGAGGTGCATTTTAAATAAATCTGAAACTCCTCTGAAGCCATGGTTTTCTACTAGTCATTGGTCCTGAGAAAACTTTTCTTCTCACCAACTGTAATTAGATATTCTCTCTCAGCAGCTGAAGAGACAGGATAATAGCACGAGTACCCACTCTAATGGGAGCAAGTTTCTCTCTCTTTTTTTAACTTTCTGGGAAAAATCAAAAGTATCTGCTATTGCCCATTTTCCAGACTGAGACACGGTCCTTCCCGTGATGACGGAGTGATACTCCGCTGACTGTGCTCTGGGTCTGCTCGTTAGGGATGAAGATGCTCGTGTCACGCTCCCTAAGACTCCTGAGCTCGGGTTACCTGCAGGGGATCCTACGGGCACATCACGACCTCACCCTAAAGCGGAGACGGAACCATTTCTGAATCTCCTCACTAACAAAACAAACTCTGTCTGAAACGAGAGGCCAAGGAACTGACTGGGCTGTTTTGTTTATTAAAGGGAAAACAACTGAAGCTCTGAATCGTGATTTTTTTAACTAAAAAAACCCCACAAAAACCTTTAAACATGCTACTGTATGTTCTATAACAAAGAAAGGAAAGTGACCACGTAGAGGGGTATGGGACACGACAGTACCTCAGCTGGGCCAGGTAGGGATTCAAGTAATTTATTTATTTTTTTGCAGCCCAGTGGCGAGAGTCTCTTACTCGGGTTGCTAAAGGGAGGGTGTCACCACAGAACCGACACCACTCCCTTCTCCAAAGCAACAAGGCATCTGGAAAGCTCAACTTCTTGGTGAAGTTTTATGGTTGGTGGCAGGACTCACAGTTCATCCACGTGAAAACACAGCTTAGTCTGGGATGAAAGCTCTTCATCGGAAAACCTCTCAACAGTTATACAGAGAAACTTCAGCCAACATGTAATCAAGTTCATTTCTGGGAGAAGTCCATCCCAAAATTTTGCAGGGGGGAGACCGGTAGGTACAGTTACCCAGCCCACATCCACTGCTCTCTTCCGTCCCGCACCAGACAGTCTGAAGCGCAGCTCTCCTGCGTTCACCCTCCACGCCAGGGAAGAAGCCAGAGGAGGAAGCGGGTCTCGTGGTTCGCAGAGTCACTCGGGTTCTGGCGAACCGGGAGCCGGAAGCAGCCGTTCCCACGGTGTGAACCCTGGGATCAGGCACGGCTGCTCTTCCAGGATTCAGCGCCCAGGCTCATGTCCGCCTTTCAGTTAAATCTCCTTGGTTTAGTAACTGTAAAAGAGCAAGAGAAATCTGGAATAGGCCACCACCGAATAAAAGGAAAATAATTCATACTAAGTAAAAGGTTTATGAGTGGGAGTAGGGGGCGCACTGCAGGGTTAGGTCAAGGACATCTTGCTCCAAAGTGAGACACACGCGTACACTGGCCTTGAGACAGCACTGCGGACACTTCCTGATGCTGTCGTTTTCACTGCGCATGAAATACCCTGCGTCTGTAAGCCAAACTATGGCGTGCGCAGTCGTGTACTCCCTGGTCAGTGATGGGGGAATCTTTAACTTACAGGGCAATCAGAAATGGTAAAACCAAGAATCTTGTCAGTCAGTGTTAGCCCAAGCACATCCTGCAAGTTCAAGAAGAAATGAAAGGACTTAGAAGACTATTCCCAAAGAGTTCTACATGAGAACTAGACCCCACTCAGAAGAAATTCAGGGAGTCCATGGGCTTAGAGCACAGGCGGCAAACACAAGGCCCGAGGGCCGAACACAGCCCTCCACCTGTTTTATCCGGCCGGGCACCTTGTTTCTACCTGGCGGGAGCGCCAAGCTCTTGCTTAACTGTTAAGGAGTAGTTACATCTATACAGGCCTAACATTACATTCGGCCCTTTGAAGGCAAGCTCAAGGCTGATGTGGCCCCCGGTGAAAATCAGTTTGACTCCCCTGGCTTAAAGGAATGCCCTTCCTGTGACGCAGGGAGACAAGCCTGAGGGACTGCAGCAGGGCGGCGGCTACGGCGGAGGATCTCCTCTACACTTACGGTGGTCTGCTGAAAGGTGGTTTTGTACAGTAATAAATGAAATTAGGTTCCATTTTATTATGAAAAGAGAATGAGATAGGAATAATACAGTGAATTCAGAATACAAATTGGGCTTATTAAAATCTAATCAGATACATTCTTGAGCTGGAGATGTATATACTTGGTGATCTCAATTTGGATGAAGGTAATTTAGGTAGAATTTAATAGTATAAAATTTAAAGACATTTAAACAAAATTTAAAGATCCCACAGATTTCATTTGATGCTGTGTGCTAGGGATATAAGAATGGTGTTTTTAGAACAGTAAAATGATGGCAAACTCACAATCATTAGCAACCACACCTAAAACAAAAACAAAGGCAAACTAACCAAACAACTAGAACAGGAACAGAACCACAGAAATGGAGATGACATGGAGGGGGAGAGAGAGGAAAAAGGTACAGAGAATAAGTAGCATAGATGGTAGGTAGAAGACAGAAAGGGGGAGGGTAAGAATAGTATAGGAAATGTAGAAGCCAAAGAACTTAATATGTATGACCCATGGACATGAACTAAAAGGGGGGAATGTGGGTGAGAGGGGGAGTGCAGGGCAGAGGGAAGTGAAGGGGGGGGAAGTGGGATAACTGTAATAGCATAATCAATAAAAAACATATTTTTTAAAAATGGTATTTTTAATTTAGGCCAAGATCCAGATGTTTGAGCTCAAACTTAGCAATGGCACTTTATGTTATAGAATTTGTAAATTGTGTTTCTCTTTGTTTTATCCGGGAAACACTCTAAGATACAGTCAAGTTAGCTGGCAATCACTTACACTGCTTCTCGAATTCTCGAACGTGAACTCAAGGTGACACGGGACCCCATTTGGGGTGGCCTGCATCGGCAGGAGACCCAGAAGCCCTGGGGCCCCCAGGGGCCGGTACAACGAGAGCCCTCTGATTCCTGGGAGAGCTAGCAACACGGAGGGAAAAGGGAAATTGTCCAGTTTGAACCAGCTGAGTAAGATGTGGTTTTGATGTATTTTCCACGAAAATGTCTTATACTTGATTTGGTTATTCTGTGATAGTCTTCATGTTATTTTTATTTTTAGAGCAAATTTACAGGAGTCCTATCAGTGCAGCAGTAGATTCTTATAGGTCAGTATGTAACGCGTGGCGACCTTCAAAAACAGAATTTGCAATGGGCATGTATCGTATTAAGGGCTGCAAACTCCCTTATCCTCCTCCAGCATCTGAGAATCCCCAGGGAATCAACATCCCTCATTCCCTGGGGGAAAGGTCAGCTGGCACCTAGACCCTGGATGAGGGAGAGGACTAAGGCTGGAGCCTTGAGGGGCTTACAGCTTGAAAACAATCAAGGTACTGGATTGGCTAAAGAGTTGGTGGGGGGTTTTCCCTAAAATAAAAGGACACATTTTTCATTTTTACCAATAACCTTATTGATTTGGATATTTTTAGTATATTGGCTATCTCCACATGGTATAACGTTGATTGTTTCGATTAATGTCTCGATTTGATTGCTATCAAGTTAAAATGGTCTACCCAACCAGATGGAGCATCATCCAGCAGCAAGAAATCTCCAGCACAAAACTTTACAAACCACTCTGACACCTTCAGTCAATTACAGCACCTCTCCATACACTGCACAAATCTTTTTCTGTATTTCAGTTGCATTTTTACCTTTCTTGAAATAATAAAGCATAATATGCTGAAAATGTTGCTTATTTTCTTCTACCTTCAATATTAAAATGGCTACCCCCAAATTCACTAATTTTGATGTTGTTTTAAAATGCACACTGATATGACGGCTGCTACAATACAATCTAACAAAATTGTTTCATATGAAGTTAAACACAAAGTGCTACTAGAGCCATCTGATGGAAAAAACGAGGCAGACCTTTTGGCCAACCCAGTACTCCAGAATGTGATTAGCCCACCTCAACAAGGAAAAGGAGGGGTGAGCAGTAGAGATGCCTGTTATAAGAGGCAGATAATAATGGTAATAGTAAAGGAAAGACAGAAGGTGTGTTTATAAATATACAAGGACCCATGAAGAAAAAATGACAAGATTTTTAGCTACATCTGAGGGCAGCGCCTTCCACTTTGTGTTGATAACATTCTATTAAGTGTCTGGGGCTCCCATTAGGAAACAGTTGCTGAGGGCCCTAGAGGCCCTTGGTGTCCTCCTGGGGTGAAGGCTGAGTTTCGGTGTTTTGGTGGCCCCTGTTGTTGTGTCTGTCTGGGGGAGTGAGCGGGCGTCATCTAGACAAGGACACGCTGAAGTCAATGCCATGACCTATGTGCCCAGGTTCAAGAGAAGCGGACATGCTCCAAAGCAATAATCAGGAGAAAGGAACTTAGGAAGGAACCAAGGACGTGTGTCACATGCCAGCGAGTCAGCTCCGACTCCTGGTGGCCCTATGAACGAGCGCGGTCCATGACGTCCTGTCCTCACTGGCCCTGCTCAGCTCCCACAGCCTCGTGCCCACGGCTTCTGTCATGGAGTCACTCCATGTCCTACTTTCCTTCTGTCTTCTGTTTCCCAGTATTAATGTCTTTCCCAAAGAGCCCTGCCTTCCATGATGTGCGTGAGGTAGGGCAGTTTCAGTTTTGTCTGTGTTTCAGGCTTAATTTGCTCTAGGACCCTCTTGCTCATCTTTTTGGTGGTCCGGGGTATCCGTAAGAGCTTTTCTCCAACAGTGTATTTCAAATGAATCAATTTTTTTCCCATCAGCCTTCTTCACTGTCCCACTTTTGCATCTGTTCATAGTAATTGGAAATACAAGAGTAGGGATGATCTCAGCTTTCGTCTATAATAACACATCTTTACTCTTAACAATCTTAAAACCCCTCTTTAATTTAGACGATGGTTCTCATTTAGTAAGTCAATGAACACATTTCTATATGCTCAGTTGGTTCAGCCTTGTATCTCCTAGACATATAAATAACCCTATGAAAATGAACAATAATTTTTCAAAATGATTTTGTTACTACCTTCTTACTTAAGGACCACTTAGTCCCAGGATGTTATTTTCTTCATAAAAACGAAAGCAAACGCATCTCATGGCAAGGCAGGAAACAGTGGGAGCAGAAACTCATTAAGAGGTGTGGATACAGAAAACTGCAGCTGAGAGTCTCACCTGTAACTGACCAGGCCCACGATTCAGGAAGCCCCACCACTCAAGCTCCTTTCAAAGCTGGACTCGCACTGAGCTTAAAAGAAGATAGTCTATTCCAAATTTCCAGGAAACTGAAACTGGAGAATTCTGCAAACCCTCTAAACTAGATTCCCAATCGCTCTCTGCATTAGTGTCCACAGGAACAGAGCAAGGGCCAGAGGCAGTTTTACCTCCTGGGGATTCACGGCCGTCAGGACAGAAACCTCGTATGACTGCCTCCCTGACTGCATGGTCACCAAGTGATGTGTCACATCAGGCACTGCGGACAGGGGGCGTGGGGATCCTTCAGCAAGCACCTCTGTGAAGCAACAGAAAAACGTTTCAACGAAAAGTGAATCCACACGTATACCTACTTGAAGTATCAAGCCTCTTATTAAGAATTTTAAAACTGTACCCTGAAAAACTGAATCCCGCGTTCCTGTATTTCTTCCAAATTAATTCTTATCTGATGACCATTATCAGCAAATTTGGAAAGTATTACAAAAAGGGGATGGGAAGAACTGGCAGGAAATCTTGATACGGGAGCTGACCACTCTTTGATATACCGACTGAGAGTGACACGGCTCCATCACTGGTAAGTGGACGGAAACAGGGCGCAGGCTGCTCGGGCAGGCGCGTCAGGAAACCAGCGCCGACCCTGAGAGCAGCCACCCGCGACACAAGCAGCACACTCTGTGCAGGGGAAGAACTAAACCTAGCTACAGAGTTCCTACTCAGTGTCCCCTCCTTCCATGAGACTTTCCTCCTTCAGGCTGGCAAAGGGCCGCCAGGCAATTTCTGTGCCTCACGCTCCGGCCGACCGCTAGCGTCATTCATAGAACAGAGGAGCCTCAGGTTGTAGAGCTCGGCGGTGCTGGCTCCACGTAGAAGGTACACAGATGTGGTCCCTTGTGCCCCCAACAGACCGAATAGGACGGGTAACTAAAATGTAGACCTCCTACTTGTTGAATGTTCATTAGTGGGATCACCATGAAGACCTTTTGGAAATAGTTTCTATATAAACCCCTTAGCCCTCAAATAAATTTAAATTTCTTTTAGCGGCTCTTTAGCTTAAACTGCTCTTCCAAACTATACCAGGTAATTTAATGTTTATTTCTATACTATCTTCTGTTCACTCAATGTTGTTACCCGTTTGTAAGTTTTAACTTCTCAATGAGATTTTAAGGGCCCTGTCTTCTACTTTCGTCTTTCCCACGGTGCCAGGCACAGGGTAGGCACTGAATAAATGCATGCTGACCTCACCTGTTAAGTTTTTCAGAGAAGAGGGCCTGGCCTGTGTAACTTGGGTGAAATTTCTATACCAGAGAGGAGCAACTGTCTCCTAGAGAGCCCTTTCTTTTCTCCAGAAGATATGGCTTTTGAAGGTATGGAGAAATTGCTTTATATCTCCTCTGTAAAACCTGATTATGTTCTGTTTAAATGTTTTAAAAGTTAAGTTCTTCCATAACTGCAATAGGAAAGATAGAAATAGTTGGGCTAGGATGCTAGGATTATGCATAATTTTTCTCTTAAAAATTTTTCTCTTTATTTTATTGTTACACCATCTTTTTAATGATTTTTTTTTAACAAATTCACTTATCCACCCCAGAGACAAAGAACACTAATGCTGTTAAAGCATACCACAGCTACTCACAAGAAATGAAATTAAATCCTTCATTCTGGAGATAATCCCATTCCTTAGTCTCTAGTCGCAGCCCATTTTCCCCAGATAAAGGAGAGTTAAAACTCTTACCATCATCCACTCCTATGATAGAATTGGTGTTCGGTAGGTTCAGCGACTCTCCACCAAGGCTGGGCTGGGAACTCACGGACACCAGGCCTTTACTGGGCCCCGAAGCCTCTTCCAGCAAACTACTGCCCATGAGCGGCTCGGCTGCACGGAGAACAGGGTGTGAGAGACACACGGCAGTCCAGCCTGCACCTGGTCCCCGTCTTCCTTCACAGGAAGCTGGCCTTTTCTTTCAGAACTAAAAATTAACCTGCGTCTTGGATACCACCTCCTATTTCACCTACTTTTGGAAAGAGTAAGCCTAGAAGGGGAGGGTGTGAGCCTCACGGATAAACATCTTTGCTTGTGATCAGCCTCTGGATAATCAGCCTATGAAATGAGGTGGATGGTTCCTGAGAAGTAATAATTTGGAATGAAATAATTGGTTAAGGAAAGACACGGAAAAGGCATAATAATAATAAAAACTGCTATCAAATTTAAGTTCGGGTAAAAAGGGAGGCAGGACTGAAGTAAGAACGCTGAAACTCCTGTCACACAGAAGTCTCTGTCACGGTGACACTCAGATGCTGGCGCGTGGACCGGCACTAGTCACCACCCAGCTCCCTGAGGGGGCTTTCAAAACGACGGGTTCTGGGATCTTACTTCCAAGTAATTTCATTTATCACATTTGGTTTGGTTTTGTTTGGGGGGAGAGTGGACAAGCAGTACGAATATACATGTCTGAAAAGCCTGCAGAGGATTTTATTGTACAGCTACGTTTGGAAACCACTAGCCCATCAAAGGAGACCAGGTCTCTACCCAAAATAGAATCAGAAAATGTCCAGATAACCAGGCAGCCGGTTACCTGGCAGGAAGACACGGCCCTCCGCCGTACCCTCTCTCCTCACCAGTCTGCTCCTGCTCTTGACTCCCAGCTGCACCCAGCTGCAGGTGATGCTTTCTCATGTGCACGTTCCTGCTCCCGCTCTGAGAGAAGGTCTTCCCACAGACTTGACACTGATGAGGCTTCTCCCCTGAAACAGGCCACGTTAAGACAGGAGAGCCAAAAAGACAAGGTGCATTTCTGACAACGAGAAAATGGACTCAAGACCTAGATGGAGAAGCCCATGAAATGTTAAATTAATCATAAGAAGCTGCTCCTTCTCCCACTCACCACCTGCCCCCCGCCCTGCAACCTTCAGTACACAGAAGCAGCCAGAAAAGTCACCAGGAAGGCTCAGCACGCTCACTGTTCCCAGCCCCCCATCAGGTACAGACCCACTGCACCGCTGCCTTCACAAAACAGCATCTTAGTGTAAGACCACGGGAGCCACACAGAATATCTGCTTCCGAGTTCAGATCAGCCTTCCCTGGACCTCTACGATCCGTACCATACTCAGGGATTCCAACCCCAAGTTCATAGTACCCCCTTCTCCTCTTTCCTGCTACCATTCTCACAGTCTTCAACATTCTCACTTGAGGTTCTTCTGCACCCTGGTCTGAGTACCTGAGTGAACCACCAAATGCTTTCGGAGGCTGGAATACTCGGCAAAGGAGCGGCCACACCCCTGTGCTTCACAAAGGAAAGGCTTCTCCCCTAGAAAGAGAACATGAGATGAAGACTCAGGCTTCTGAGGAACTGTCTCTTTCTTTTCCCATCAATCATTTTCTGCTTCCAGTGACTTACTCTGATTTTATAAATTCACACAATATAATTTCACCTGGGCTATCCGCCCAATGTCACCTCTCCACGACCTGCCAGTATACACCCACCGGGCGGAGAGCCCTGCCCTTTCTTCTAACAGTGGCTGCCTCCGGGCGTCATGCTTCCGCCTCCCTCCTGACTCCAGAGCTGGCCCCCAACTGCACTGACCTACCTTCTCCAGTGACCCCAGCCCCTGTGGGGTATCAAGAATAACATGGTGTAATTTATGCTGCCAGGGTTTTTACCTTTTATCAATTCTCTTTAAGAAGCAGTTTCTAGATCCATTCAAAATATATCTATTTTTAAAGGTTATAAAGTAGGTGTTATATATAGTCTCATTTTATAAAACAAGTAACATGTTTAGTCAGAGGTACACAGAAAAATCTGTAACAGTATGTTAAAAGTAGGTATACTAATAGTAGTACTATAGATGATTTATTTTCCTCTTTTTACTTTTCTGTAATCTTTTCTACAATATTACTGTTATTTTAAACCTCAAGCATGCATGGTAAAAACTGAGGAAGGCCTGCAGACTGACTGACAGCACCGTTAATGCCTGGCTTTGATACTGCACTACGACTGCATCAGATGTCACTCACTGGGGAGGCTGGGTAAAGCACACACAGAACTGCTTGTACTATTTTTGCAACTTCCTGTAAGTCTGTAATCATTTCAAAATAGAAAGTGAAAATAATGAGACGCAGTGTCTGTCCTCTAAGGGTCACAGACTAGTGTGAGAGAGATAAATGTAAATAACTTTAATAGAAAGTCTTGTAAAAAAGGGGGCTTTAGCATTTAGAAAGGGGGGACTCTATGATCATTGTTTTTTAAAGAAGCTGAATTTAAGCTGGTCTTAAAAGATGACAAGGATGGAAGGAAATTTCAGGCACAGGAGCCTTGCAACTTAAGAGTGCCTGGGGCCAGTTCAGAAATGGCGGAAGTGAAACAGTAAGAGACGCGTCTCTGTTCCTGGTTCTTGACAGAGAGCTCCTAAGATCCTTGCAAATGGGAGCAGTAGTAAAATCTTTTGTCTTAACATTTTTATTTGTTAAAAGATTTTATTTATTTTATTTTATTTTTAGAGAGAAGGGAAGGGAGGGAGAAAGAGGGAGAGTCAAGTGTGCTTGCCTCTTGGGCGCCCCCTACTGGGTACCTGGTCCACAACCCAGGCATGTGCCCTGACTGGGAATCGAACTGTGAACTCTTCAGTTTGCAGGCCAGGGCTCAATCCACACCAGCCAGGTGAAACTGATGAACAATGAGAAGATTAACAAGGGACAACTAGTAAGAGTTAGACTGAAGAGAGAAAGGTCATCCTCTGAAGTAAAAGAAAGCATTTCAAGATGTTCTGTATTATGAAATGCTACAAAGGTGATGAGCTGCGTAAGCATGAAAAGATCACTGCATTTGACAGTAAGGCACGCTGAGGTCTACTTCTTTCTTAATCTGTTCAGTTAGATGTTTTACTTGTTCTTTTATTCAAACTGCTTTCTTGAAGCACGTATAGTTTACTCTTTCAAGGAAGAGCTGAGCCCCTTGGCTGGGTAATTCAGTTGGAGCACTGTCCTGACATACCAAGGCAGCAGGCTTGATATCTGGCCAAGGCACATACAAGAAACAAACTGAACAAGCGAATAAGTGGAACAACAAGTCAATGATTTTCTCTCTAAATAATCAATCAGTCAATAAACAAGTTAATTAATTAAAAGGAGGAGGTGAGAACAGAGCTACTCCATCCTAAAACATAGCCAGTGGTAACATCGATCTAGAAGAAATCATGCCTGGAATAAATGTGGCTTCGGCTTGGATTTTACTTTTTAAATGTCCTTGAATTGTACCTGCTGTCATTTTAGCTATGCAAGAATGAACAAGGCAGAGACAACGGACATGTTGAGAAAGCAGAGAAGAACAGTTACATACCCTGAGGCAGGGGTCTGAGCTCAGTGATTAAGCTCCACCAAGACTTAGCATGTGCTGGGCCAGGTGGCTTGGAAGGTCGCCCTCCCCTTCAGTTGTCCCCTCACGTCTCCTTCTCAGACTACGAGCCAGGGTGTTTTTATTCTGCTGCTCTGATATTAACATGCTGTTTGACCCAGAACAAGTCACTTTTCTACTCTGTTTCTCAAGTTGTGAAGTTTTAATAAGAAAGCAAACTCCTCAAAGTTGGGGATTATATCTTGGCTTTTGTAACTCCCCCCATTTGCCCCCTTCAGTGCCTAGCACGGGCTCTGTAAGGCTTCTGTGACTCAGTGTCACTGCTTCAAATACTGCAGTGTTTGAAGATATCTGGAAAGGTTTATGTGGTCAGTATCTCATCGTGTCGATGCTGGGGTCGCACACACCTGTGTGGATCCGCAGGTGGTTCTTCAGATTCCCAGCTGTGGTGAACTGCTTACCACAGCTGGACTCAGGGCACATAAAGGGCTTCTCTCCATTGTGGGTCCTCATGTGCACCTTCAGCCGCTGCAGCACATAGAAACTTTTCCCACAGCCTTCTGCAGGGCATATGAAGGAGCGGTCATTCCTGGGGAAAAAAAACTGCATGAGCAACAATACTTGAACATGTTTACTGCTAGAGAGGACAAGTCAAAGCTCCTACTGACTTCTGAGGCAGTTAGTAAACCCCCAACCTGTATATACTGACTGAAGTTACCTGAAGTTTGTTAAAACCACAGATGCCCTGGCTCTTCTTCTCAAAATCCAGTATGGATTCCATAGGTTTAGGGTGGGGCCCACGTTTATGAATTATTCTTTTAAGTTCTCCAAGAAAGTATGCTTATAACTTGATTTGGGAACTCCTGCTGCAGCTCACTTAGGTGCGAATGTCTTATTAAATGTATGTCAAGAGTGAGATGAGACAGTGAATATCTTTCTACTAGAGAACAAAAGACATCTTAACCACAACAGCACGGCAGCTCCTGCCGGGCCTTCAGTTTGTCGAACTGTGGGTATGAGTTCCTCTGGAAGCATCAATGGGCCGTGGCTCCGAGTACGGAACCTCGGATTTGCTCACCGGTGGGTTTTGAGGTGGTACTTAAAGTGCGCTGGCCACACGAACGTCCGGTTACAGCCTTCCACTGTGCACTTGAGCTTCTTTTCCACTTGAGGAAGGGGCCCAGAATCTTTGGGCTGCCCGTCACCAGAACCAAGGTGGACGTTTTCTCCTATAAGAGAGGCACATATTTGTAATCCAGGAAAGGACCCTGCTCAGGTTCTTTGGTTCAAATAATAAAAGCTCTTCTATTTTATTCCTAGCGACCAATTATCAAATATCCATCTTCGTCTTCCCCAAATCTTTGTACCCACATTAACAAAAGAAGTGAGAGCACTCTATATGCCACCCCTTTACTCCAGAGAACCCCCAAAGCCATCATGCTTTGCTGCACAAGACTGGGCCTCTTTGGCAAAAGTACAAAATGTCCATTCTTTGGTTTCATACCAAAAAGCAGAGTTAAACCTACTTTGCATTAGATTGGTGGGAAGGCAGGTATATCACACCCAGAGTACAGCGCTAGAGAAGATGACTTAAAGTTCCAGGTAACAAAATCTTGTATTTAAAGGAGGAACAGTCATTCCGGCTTAGTTCTGGGCTCACGGTAGTTAATTTCTTTTGTAGATGGGATTCTTAGATGTCTATCTCCTGAAGTCAATTTGAGTGTGCCTGTCATTCTAGAGAGTACAAACCACCTTCCAGTGTCCTGTACCACCCCTCTTCAGGTACACAATAAAGAATGCAAAAACTCAGCAGATCTTTACATTTCTAACCACAGTGTAAAACGTGAGAGATAATACCTACTGAAGTTTTCTGTTCAATAGAATAAAAGGAGGAGAGGAGAGAAGCATACAATGCAGTATCTCCCTTAAATTTAAATAAATCAGTTAATTAAAAATTTATATAAATTCCAAAGTAGCAGGTGGTGCTCCTTTTCTTTCATTTTGTTTCCAACACAGTTGGACATCAATAGAGAAAAGTATTCATTTAATTCTGCTATAGACATGCATAGTTTATCTTTTCACTTATACCTTGGGAATAAGATTTAATTTCCAACTTTCCCTCAAAAGCCAAGATTTGGGCATATAAGTTGTAGCTGCCACACTCCCTGGAACCCGACAGCTGAGCAGTGCCTGTCCCATCTATTAATCCGACTCTCTTCCTGCCGGCCCTACATCCTCCTTGCTGTGCTTAATCAAATGCTAGTCATAAAACTAACTGCTCCAAGATCCAAGTAAAATCTGAGATGCCTTCTGTTACTTGATATGTTCCTTTTAAAATAATTGTCCCACAGTTCTTTTGTTTAATTGAAAAGGTAGTACCTGTACATAGGTAAAATTTAAACACCATATATTATAAAGCAAATTTCCAAATTCTAAAGTTCCACCAAATTAATTTCTACTGAAAGGTCTGTAGAAACCCCTCGCTAATCTGAGATTTAACCAGTGACAGTGGGGCTTTGTGTGTTCAATTCCGTAGATACAATGAGAACACTGATAAATCTGAGGCAGAAGAAAATCCCTAAGAAAAGAGCGAGTGGTCTTGTGTTTGAGTCCTTATAAAATCACTCACTAAAGGACTGCTCCCTCAACTACTCTGCTTTTGGGGGAAAAAAAAAAAGTATTGTCTGCAGAAGACAGATTAGCTTTAAAATGACCTCAACCAATGATAGTTTGGGATATTCAGAGGTCACCGAATCAACTGGTTCAAACAGTAAAAAACCAGAGACAAAGAAACTGCAGAAGCTGCAATACTGCAGAGGTTGAACAACAACTGCAAACACTTCAAAGGTCTTACAGTTACGGGAGGACCTTTTGCCTTTGGATGTCATACAAAGCAGGGATCAGTGGGCTCTTTCTGTAAAGGCCACACAGTAAATATTTTTTACTCTGAGGGCTATATGGTCTGCCACAACTACTGAACTTTGCATTGGTAGTTGCTGTAATAGACAATTTATAGAACTAACTGGCATACTAGTATTTCAGTAAAACTTTACTTACAATAACAGGTGTGTATTTGGTCCATGGACCTTTGCTAACCCCTGATGAAAGCATCAAATGCAAAATTAAAATATTTTTATATCTCAATAAATTTAGATGGATGTGAAGATGATTTGCTTCTTTAAAAAAAATTTAATCCTCCACAAGGATAGGCTTATTGATTTTAGAGAGGGATGGCGTAGGGGGTAAGAGAGAGAGAAAGAGATATCAATGTGAGAGAGAAACATCAATTGGTTTGCAGCCTGCACATGCTCTGACTGGGAATCGAACTTGCAACCTAGGTATGTGCCCTAACTGAGAAGTGAACCCACAACCTTTTGGTGTATGGGACAACACTCCAACCAACTGAGCCACCCGGCCAGGGCACTATGATTTGCCTTAATGAACTGTGCTACAGGACTCACAAAGTGGCTTTAGTAATGATGAAGGTATTTGTTTAAATGTATTAAAATGTTGAGTAAAATCATTTCATTACATGTTAGTGTGTAAAAAGCAACATCAAATTAGTATGTTCTGTATAATTTAAAATGTGTGTGTAACCAAAATAAAATTCTCACATGGCAATTTACAATGTTCAATTTTATCTACATGCCTAAAAGTTTATAAATCACAGTTAGCCCTCCAAAAGGCTTTTAGGCAATCATTTCACTGAGACATGGAAGATTATCATACATTTGGATTCACCTTATACTCAAGTGCCTCAGGGTAGTTGTTAGGTAGCAAAGAAACATATTTGGAGAGTAACAAAAACACCCATACAATGCTTTGTTGATTATAAGACATGTCACAGATAGGATCTTATTTAATCTCTATAACAACCCAATCAGGTAAGCTACCTGATCTCTTTGCTCTGAACATGAGAAAGCTGAAGCTAAGGGAGGTTATATTCCCCAGGCAAGGAGCTAGTAGAGGATGGCACCAGAGACAGATCTCAGGCCCCTAGAGTCCAACTCCCAAGTCCCCTACAACACTGCTTCTCATGGGCAAATATAGTACTATTGGATTGGCCAAAAAGTCTGTTCAGTTTTTTCCATAAAATAAAAGACACATTTTTCACTTTCATCAGTAACTTTATTGATTTGGCTGTTTTGAGTACATCAGCTATCTCCTGCTACTGGCTTCTAGTGGGTAGAGGCCAGGGTGCTGCTAAGCATCCTCCAATGCGTAAGACAGCCCCACAGCAAAGAGTTATTGGGTCAAAATGTGAACAGTGCCACGAAACTTTGCAAACCACTTCTGACACATTCAATCTGTCTAGCACCTTCTCCATCCACTGCACAATTCTTTATTTTGCATTTCAGTTGCCTTTCTTGAAATAATAAAACATAATACATCGAAATGGTGTGTATCTTATTCCATCTTTAACATTAAAATGGCTGCACAAAAATCCACCAATTTTGTTAAGTTTTTTTTAAATGCATGCTGAAATGGCAGCTCTCACAATACAATCTAACAAAACTGTTTCAAATGAAGTTAAAGATAACTAAGCATTGCTAGAGCCACAGTACAGAAAAAACTTACTTTTTGGCCAACACAATAACCTTATTCGTTACAGGTTAATGAGAAAACACAGTAGCGAATCTAAAGCAAAAGTACTATGGCAGGCACTCTCCTCCTGGGGGCACGCCCGTGCCTTTCTCCCCCGCTTCTCCTCCCCAAGGTGCATTACACCTTCCCCTTTCCCTCCCCTAAGCTCCAAGGGCCCTTCTTCTGCGTCCGTAACTTGTTCCCTGAGTTCACTCCTTCCAAGGCCCTTCCTTTTGCCTCTGTTAGACTTTGCCTCTTCTTTGAACTTTATCTTATTTACAAAAGAGAGTTACAGGCATGCTACACGGCAAAGGCTCTGCAGCGGTCTCGGAGTGGCTACCCAAAGCCATGGCCCTCAAGCCCTAACATCCATCACAACCACCAAAGGGCTTCTTCCTAAAAGATGACAAGTGTCTGATTCAGGATAGGGATTGAGCACCTGCACTGCTAAGTTCCTTGGTGATGTGACAGTCCGAGACCACACTGTGAAAATCCCCAGATGGAGGGAAATAGGAGAGGAAGTAGTACAGACAGGCTGAACTCAAAAGACACAGTATTACAGACCTCATGGCTAACTGCTAAACTGTCATGAGGAGCAATTCAGTTTCAGAAAAACAGAACTCAAAATATAACCACTGCATTACCAAAATCTCTGCACAGAATACTGGAAAACACCAAAGGGCTCTCACCATTGCTGCTGGTTTTTGCATTCTTTGCCAGCTGTGCACGAGTAGCAGCGATCAAACTGTCATGGGCCAACTCCTGGACCCGGAGGAACCAGGGAATGCTACTGTCCGTGCTCTCCCCGGAGAGGAAATCATTCCCTGAATCCTCGGCCTCATCTTGCACAAATACCAGGTGCTCGGCTGAAGAGCTCAGGCCTGGAAGAACAAGAGGATATATGAGAGTTAGCCATCAAGTAACCCTTCCATGGGCCCTGGCGCAGAAACCCCGTGTGTGCTGCTCCAGCCACCCCAGACCTCCACCTCTCACCTCATGTTGCAGCTCTCACCCAAGATTAGGTTATCGCCTTTCCACGCCCAGCCCACAGGCCTGTCTTTATATTACCTCCTCCTTTTTCACAGGCACAGCCATCCTTCCTGGCAACCAGGTGAGTCCTCACCCCATCCTATCCTCCCATTAGCCCCGCATGTCTCCTTCAGCTGTCTGCTCCCTACTGCCCAGCTTACAGCCTCCCTTATGGCCTTTAAGTCCATCATGCTCAAGTCTTTCCCATCTTTATTTTTATTTTTTTAAAGAATAGAAAGTCCCAGGTACTTCTCTAGCTGTCACCTTCACCTGTCCCTTCAAAGTCAACTTTCGTGAACAAGTGGAACTTCTACGCTGCATGCCCACTTTCTCCCCTGCCATCTACTCCCCATCTCTTTAACCCCGGCCTCCACCTCGGCTGCTGCAAAACCGCTGCGCTTGCCACGGTCACCAGACATGCGCTTCCGAGTCCTCACCTCACCAGCCCGTTCTGAAGCATTTAGCATGACTTAGTACCTTTTCTTCTTTAAAATGTTTTCCTCCCTTGGCTTGCCCCATGTCACTCACATGGTTTTCTTATTGAATTTATTGGGGTGACACTGGTTAATAGAATTATAAAGGTTTCAAGTACACAGTTCTGGAAGACATCGTCTGTATGCTGCACTGTGTGTTCACCGAGTCCTCCCATCACTACGCATTTGACCCCCTTTACCCTGTACTACCTCCTCCCTGCCCCTCTCCCTCCGGTAACCACCACTCTCCTTCTGGTTTCTTCATCCCTCTCCAGCAACTCCTTCCTGCTTTTCTGTTACTCTCTTAAATGTTTGGCTTTTTTTTTCAGGGTCCCAGATTTGTCTACTTTTCTGTTTATGTTCCAGACCAGGGTCCCCCAACCTCCAGGCCACAGACTGGTACCCCTTCAGCCCTGTCAGGAGCCCACTGCACAGCAGGAGGTGAGCTTGAGTGAAATGCACTTGAATCATCCTGAAACCATCCCCCAACTCCAGTCCATGGAAGAACTGTCTTCCATGAAACCAAACCCTGGTGCCAAAAAGGTAGGGACCGCTGTTCTAGACTATTCCTGAATCAAAGAATCCTACTCATACATTTCATACATTTCCTGGATCCTGATAAGCACCAAAACGACTTATTTCCCACCAGACCTCTCCAGAACCCTGGACTTCTGTTTCTATCTGTAAAAGATACCTCCTCCTGCATGTCCCTCCCACATTTCAACATCAACAGGCACAAAGGGGAACTAATCATCCCCCCCCCCCAGCCCTGTCCTTTCTGTGTTCACTATTTCGGTGACCAGCACCACCTCATTTCCCAAACAAGAGACTTCTGAGTCATCCTGGAGTTCACCCTCTCTCTTCCCACACTGAACTGGTCACTAGACTACATCCACTCTCCAAAATAATAAAATAATAAAGCTTCATTCCATTTTAAGCATGAGCAGAGTTCAGAAAAGGACAAAAATTACCTGCTCTTGTGAGGTTAAGAAGAATAAAAGAAGTGCTATCACTCGGCTGTAGATCTTGCAACAAGCTAGGAGACTCTGGAGTGGACAAAAACTCCGGGGACTTCTGCACAGTCTGAGCCCTCGTCTCCTCTCCGTCTGGGCCCACATTCACCTGCAGGCTTCTCAGCACAGCTGAAGAAGGGACCTCCTTGGAGGAGTTAGTATGACTTGGAGTATCATCTAGTAAACAGAAAACACCACAGACTTATGAAGCACCCGCCTCCAAAGATCTCCCCTGGTACCCTTAACACATCCCCTGGAACCTAACATCCTTACAGGAAGAGACGGCATTTTCATTTTACAAACACAAAATCTGCCTCGGAAAAGAACACAGAGGCAGTTTTAAGTTCTAACGGGAAGCAGGCCCAAATCTGCATATGCACTTATGGATCTCTGTCCTGGCGAGGCCAGAGGTCAGCACTTTCTGATTGAAAAGTATGGTTACACAGTGAATACGAACTTAAGAACATGATCTAAATTTTACTTATGTTTCTTGGGGAGAGATCACTTCCTTTAATTTTTACATCATGTGTGCGATAGTTCTGACGTGAGTCATTAGGGGAAAAAGAAAAACAGCCTGGGAAAAAACTGAAATTTTACGGAATCATCGACCCACTTCATTGCAGTCTGGGTTTACACGGGCGGCACAGAAACAATCAGATACTCTCTCTCCAATTTTGCTGTGAGGGAGGGCATCGGTTTACAAAGGGTTTGGCTGTAATATGATAAGGAGCTGTACTGCAGTGCAGTGTTTTCACTGCTGAAAACCCAGTGTTTTCAGGGGCTCATCTTTATCGAATAGAGACAGCCTTTCTTTCCTGTTTTAAGGAGATAACAGACGAGATCACAGGAATAAAAGTGGAGGCCTAGGGACAGTATGGCCATTTCAGAGCCCAAGGAAGTTACACAACAATGTAAATGTACTTAATGCTATACAACTAGCTGGATTTTAACTCATTAAAATGATGAATTTTGTTATGTATATTTTACTGCAAAAAAAATTTTTAATGAAGTTCATAGAGACACAGTTTATCACAGAACACTGGAAAAATAACCAAATATCCATCAATAGCAGCATGAAACTGTGGTGCGCTCATGCAACCAAACCACAGCCACCCACAAGGATGAACCTCACAAAAACAGAGTAAAAAAAAAAAAGGGTACAACAACATACATGCATACAATCCCACTAACTTAAAGTCCAAAAACAGCTAAAATTAAACTGTATTACTTAGACTTGGACAGTTACTGGAAACTTGCAAAGAAAAAATCATCCAAAACTTAAGGACGGTGGGGACCTATGGGACAAGAGAGCTCATCCTTAACAGGGAGGAGCCCATGGAGGGCTTAGGAGCTGGCCATGTTCCACTTCTGGATTAAGTAAGTGGCGGGGGTCCCCTTTACAGTAACTCCTCAATATGTGCATCCATGTGGTTTTACTTCTCTGTATCTACCACATACCCCAAGGGAAAAGCAAGCACGCAGGCTGTGCATGGAATGATACACAGGCACATAAGAGGGAGGGGAATGAGATTAGGGAGGTACGTGCAGACACATTTGCTATTATAATACTGTGTTTTATGAGCTGGGAGGTGAGTACATGAGTTATTATCTATCGGTTCTCTAAATGTTTTAAGTCAAAATTAGAACTAAAAGAAGGTAATTCGAAAAAGAAGATAGATGCTTTTGTTTCTGTTTTCATTTCCTTCACTATTGTTAAATATTTATTCAACAAATTAAAATTGGGAGAGGTAAGCCATGGACAAAGCCTAATGAAGATCAAAATTCATTGGCGCGTGGAAATTTTCTCATATTGAAAATCCTAGGTACCTGGAAAGATCCCCAACACACTAGTGGAAAAATGGGAATTGAGAGGGGAATGTGTGGAAAACAAGCAGCTACTCAGGGAAGCCTTCAGTCAACATTGGTTGGTTTATAACACCTGCCCTTCTTGAATCTTTACACATTTACATAGATTTTAAAGTCACTTGAAACTCAAAGCAAAAAGAGCACTAGAAGACAGTAACCAGAAGACTTTATAACAAATAACTTGTCACCAACAGGTTGATGTTGATCCTCTCCTGATTTAACATTAATGTCCCAAATTTTAAAACAAGGACCAGAAAGAGAAGCACTGCACCTAAAAACAATGTTGTCTCTGACAGCAGTCGAGTGACAGGGCTACGCCCTTCCCATCCAAAGCGCTCGACGTCATCCTACTCTACGTCTCCCGAAGCCTCCTCAGCCATTACCCACACTGCAGATGTGCAGCTCCTCTAACTGGCTCTTTCCTTTCAGCATAAAGCCACCCTTAAATATTCCCAATCTGAGAAAAGAACTTTCCATTTATCTTACATCCTTCCCATAGCAGGAGAGTCTTTACAAAGTGTAGATACTTAACTATACTTATCTTACACTAATATCTCAACCCACTGCCGCCTGGCCTTGCACCCCCTTTCCACAGAACAGGCCCCACTAAGGTCAACAGCAGCCTTGTTGACCCTCTCTCAGTGGGCCCCTTAGGAACCTCTGACACACTAACTACTGCCTCGGGTTCCACGTCTGTACTCCACGCAATATTCCTCACACTCCTCTAGCCTTTCCTTCTCCCCTCCTCCACAGGCTCTCCTGCCTGAACCTGCACCTTGAACAGGGAGTTCCAGGGCATTCTACCTTAGTCTTCTTTCTTCTCAGGCTCATACTCACTGAGTATGATAACCCATATAGGTTATCATACCCACTCCTACGGCATAAACTACCAATGCACTTAGGACTCCTATGGCTCCTTTTCCTCCATGACTCCAAAAGTGTAGTTCCCACCAGTCAGTTATAAAATCCGTTCTGCCGTTCCCCCGGTTCCATAGAATAGGCTAAGTTCTTATGACTCATTTATTTTGCCTGTGGTGATCTTAAGTGTTACCTGGTAATATTAGCTGACTGCATTCTGAGGCCTCAGTCACCGGAAGGAGGGACAAGCAAGTAATATCTTTAGCTTCTGATTCTACTAGCCCCTGTCCCAGCGGGATGGACGTATTCTGAACAAACTGTACCAGGAGCTAGGGGGTGGAGGGAGGGGAAACAACATTGAGAAACACAAGCTGTTAGAAGTGGATATAAACCTCTGAATTTACCAAAAGTTGATGATGTCATCAAGTCTTGATCATTCACTAGTCTCAGCCATATTCATTTAAAAACTAGATTAATGACAAATAAAATTTAAAGTTATTTTTATCAAGACATCTGCTCTAGAGAAAGGCTGAATTATATAATTAATTTAACCTCTGTTATCTTCCACCAAACGAAGAAATGATAAAAATAATAATTTTTAAATGATGGCTATTAAAAATTCAACCACATTGTACCGATTACATTTTTATAAAGCACTTTCTTTGTACTGGCTCCCCTAACCCTCACTGTTACTCAGTAAGCTCCAACATGTATTTTAAAGACCAGGAATCAAGTTGAAGACACTAAATGGTTTTTCTAGAGTCACAAGACTAGTTAGAAGCAGTGTCAGTCTTCAAACTTAAGTAATTTGATTCCAAACTCAGTGACCTTTCCATTATGTAACACAGATATACTTAAATTAAAATGAAAAAAAAAAAAAGAATAAAAACTAAAAATGGTTAAGTCCTCTAATTACATTAAAAATACTTTCAGATATCTGCAAAATTAATAAAGGAATGGTTTGTGGTAGTAAATACATACATATACACACAGTACACAGAAGTTTGTCATATAACTATCTAGACGTATAACTTTACATTTATTTAAATAACATGTATTAAAAGTCATAAGAGGTAAAAATGGAATTCTTAAATCTTTGAAAAAGTACTTAGAAACAGAAAAATAATAAACCAGTAGTTAAATTCAAAATAACATATCCCACAAAGACTAAACTTGCCTCTCCGGCCCGCTACGGAAGAGCCTGCTGACCCCAGACCAAGGAGGACAGGCTCCGGAACACGGCCCGCTGAAGGGGGAGAAACAGACTGAGGGGCTCACCTCTGGTTTGGACTCTAACTCATCTGATAACATTGATTCAGCTTCCAAATCCTGTAGCTGTTCGGGGGACAGGTTAAAATTTTAATTCAGAGCCAGCGACACCTTCCTGCTTATGCTCATATTCCTCTAGGAAATGCTACGCTTCTCCTGTAAGATGCTGTGCTGGGTGGGTGGGTAATCAATGTAGCCTAAAATAGGGGGAAAAAGGGAGAGAGACAGAATTAAGAGCAGAGGAAAAATGTAGCTAAATAAACAAAGCCTTCTTTACATAGGTGTGGCAAAAATAGGTTTACAGTTGCAACCCTCTTTTGCGTTAATAAAGCTATTTCAATAATCATAACCTGCATGTCTTTTTCCACACCAACAACTGTAAACCTACTTTTGCCCACATGTGTATATCCACAGTAAGCAAGCAAAGAAAGAATGTGGCCTAAAACACTTGTTTGAAAACAGAACAAGCCCAATGGGTATCAAAACCCATAAAAAGTTATACTTTGATGTAGAATTTCTACTTCTACTAATCTGTCTAAAGAAAAGGTCTCAAACATGGAAAATTTATATGTCCAAAGAATTTCATCCTATCATCTGCAATAATAAGCAACTGCAAGCAACATGTAAGTACACATATACATTCAACAATCAGGGACCATTGATTAAATTATACCCAGCAATTAGAAATGTTCATTAAATTATGTCACTTAAAAATATGGTTATGAAAACAATGTAACAATGAAGAAAAATGCCAATGACAAATTACAAAAACCAAATACAAAATCACACATTTGCCAATATTAAAACTAGTTAAAATACACAAAGGAAAAAGAAAGAGAAAATTCACACAGCTGTGATACTTTGGGTGGCAGGCTGATATGACTTATTTTTCTTTTCTCAATTTCCCAATTTTTCTAAAAATAGTTGTACTGTCAGTCAAAATTTGAACAATGTTTTCTAAAAGTAGTACTCTTTGGACCCTGGTGGAACTGTTTTCTCCCCATAATTTAAATTCTTATTTTCTTATAGCTTTGTTTTTTTTTTTTTTTCAGGATCTTGGCAAAATGATTTAATTTTATTTTGTACAATTGTTGCTAAAATTGTAAGCACTATTAAATACAAAATGGTCATACAGTGTAAAATGCACCCAGGTTGGGAATTTTCCATTAACACCAAGGTAAAGCGAAAAGTTAGAATAAGACAGGCTTATTCCACAAAGAGGGCACTGAGAAGGACCTGAGCAAATGTCACTGCCCTAACAGTTCCTCCCTCTCCCTTGTCAGTTGCCAGAAATCCATATTTTCCATCACTAAAAAAATCACAAGATTTCGTAAAAAAAAAAAAAACTTTAAGGCTCCCACATAAAGTACCATAAATCCCTAATTTCTCCTCTCACATACATTTTTCTTAGTCAAGCACTACAAACAGCTCAGTGTGGTTTATCCATCCCTCTCTTTACAGAGAAGGGACTGAGGCCCCATACATCACTTGCCCAAGTCACTACAGAGCCCGACTCCCACCCACAGAGCAGGCTGGCATGAGCAGTTGGCGTGAACAGTGACTACATCTCTCTAAGCCTGATCTTGAATCACAGAGTTCCAGAATTCCTTTCCCCTGATTCCAGCTCATCTCAAGAAGCCAAGAAATTACCAAATGTTTATTTAGGTTATCCTTAAGCTTCCTCCAATTTTGAGATTCTAGGATTGTAAAATCTCTAAGAAACTAGACAACTATTTACTGTCTTTATATATTTGTTAGGTTTTTTTAGAAACTAATGGTGCTGGCTCCGGGAATGGCTTGTCTCCTTACCTAGTGGGAAAACATGGAAGGATATGAATACATGCCCTGAACAAGGGGAAAATCGGGTACAGCAGATCTTAGACATTTCTGCAAAGCTGTGATAACTTAGAGAAAGGAGCTGCACTGCCCTCAGTTTAAGAACCACCTCTGGTTCACCCTCTCTCAAGGATCCATGGTTAATCTATGACACCCTTTAGGACGGTCTAACCTGTGTCCCACAGGCTGCGTGTGGCTCAGGATGGGTGTGAATTCGGCCCAACACAAAATCATAAATTTACTTAAAACACTATGAGATTTTCGTGTGTGATTACGTGTCACAATGTATTTAATATGTGGCCCAAGACAACTCTTCTTCCAGTGTCGCCCAGAGATGCCAAAAGGTTGGATACCCTAAGACTGTTTTCGTTTCAATGATAATCTTAAAAATTAGCACAAGCACTGTCTGGAACAAATGAGTACCCATACTACAACTGAGTGCAGGCATATAATTCTGGTGTCCAAATCTGAGGTTTGTATGTGTGCCGTATAAACAACAGAGAACAGTGGGATGCAGCAGAGTAGGAAGGCCGCCCTCAGAAGAGTCTGTGCTGGAGTGCTCGGAACCATGGCAGATGTACTGTGTGGATCTCATCTTTAACCCAGCACTAGCTAAGTGTGGTGGCAAATCCAATTCAATTCTATTCCAGGTTCTGGTTACCCATTTAACAGATTTTAAAAAGTACAATGCAAATCTGCTTTAAATAACAGCTTCTCTGAGACAGAATTCACATACCACACAATTCACTCATTTAAAGAGTACAAGTTGTGCAACCCTAACCGCAACTTAAAAATTTCCTCATCCCAATAAAGAAAACCCATACCCACTTTCTCCCAAACCCTCCACTGACCAGGCCTGGGCAATTATTAATGTACTTTTCATCCGCGTGGATTTACCTACCCTGAACATCTCTTATAAAGGGCATTATACGTGTGATCTTTGATGCCTGGCTGCTTGCACTTAGCATGATGTCTCCAAGGTTTGTCCTAGTTGAAGCATGCATTGGTACTTCATTTCTTTTTGTTGCCAAGCAATATTCCATTGTATGGATATATATTTTATCTATTGAATTATCAGTTGATGGTTATTTGGGTTATTTCCACATTTCAGCTATCTCCACAATTTGGCTATTATGTATAATGTTGCTATGAGCATTCAAGTACAAGTTTTTCCGTGGACATATATTTTCATTCTTTTCTGTACCTGTCTAGGGGAGAAACTGCTAGGTCATATAGTAACTATGTTCAATCTCTCGAGGAATACCAGGCTGTTTTCCAAAGTGGTTGTGTCACCTTAAACCCCACCAGTAGTGTATGAAGGGGATCCAATTTCTCCACACCCTCACCAGCTCTTGTTAGTGTCTGCCTTTTTCATCATACCCGTCCTGGTGGGTGTGAAGTGGTGACTCACTGTGGTTTTGAGTTGCATCACCTGATAGCTAATGATGCTGAGCATCTTTTCCTGTGCTTATTGGGCATTTGTACAACTTTTTTGGCGAAATGCTTAAAACAGGTTGGTGGCTCACTTTTAAATGATTCATCTTTTTATTACTGCATTCTAAGAGTTCTTATATATTCTAGATATAAGTCCCCTATCAGATAGATGATTTGCACAAACTTTCTTCCATTCTGTATTATCTTTTCACCTGCAAAGCATATCTTTTTTTAAATTTTATTTATTTTTAGAGAGAGGGGAAAGGAGGGAGAAAGAGAGAGAAAGAAACATCAATCAGTTGCCTCTTGCATGCCCCCGAATGGGGACCTGGCCCACAGCCCAAGCATGCGCCCTGACTAGGAATCAAACCAGTGACCTTTTAGTCTGCGATATGACACCCAACCCACTGAACCACACCAGTGAGGGCACAAAGCAAATCTTATCTTCAATTGAACAAGTCAACTCTAACTCTACAAAGTTATTATAAATACCACATTAAAGTTGACATCTGAGGACTTCTCAGTCAGATCTGGTTAAATGTAAGATCTGATTATCATAAACTGTGTAATAATGCCCTGACATTATAAATAGTATCTTGTATGATATCCTCTGCATTAGTATTACTTAAGTTAAAATGTAGAAACAGATGAAATATATTACTGAATCCAAAGCTAAATCTTTCCACTGTTAAACTCAACATTAAGTATGTATTTCATTTTAGCAAAACAACTCTACCACATAATATGAATGTTAATTTGAATTTTCGTTTTATGATGTTGTTTACATCTGTATACTTACTCATAAAGTTGTAAATCCATGGAGACAATTGATATATCCTGATAACCTAAATTTTATGACACACATGGTTCCCTATGACCAGCAAAACAAGTTAGACTACTTAAACAATCTCTGTTTAGCATATATATTTTAGAAACCCACCAACCCTCACACTGCTATTACTGATTTATAAATTTGTTTTGATGTTACAGTTAAGAGCTATAAAAGTTCAGCACAGAAGATATAAGTATTACCTAGCTTTATGTTTATTTAGAGTATTTATAATAAAAATAATTTGCTAGGATGGGGGGAGGGGTCCCAATGCAATTTGTTCCTTTAAATGCAATTTACATGACAGTGGAGTGAAAGGCACTGCTCTTACTCAAAGGGAAGCTATTTTCAATAAAATTACAGGTCTCAGGAAATTTCTTCCCAGGCTTTCTCATGCTATTAAGATAAGAGATCAGAACTGCAGTGTACAGAGTAGTCACCTACATCACCCAAAGGTGTTTAAGGTGGACAGTTAATATATGTTCTTTTTTAAAATGTATTGATTTTGAGAGAGAGAGAGAGAGAAAAGTTGGGGGGGGGCAAGAGAGAGAAACATCGATTTGTTGTTCTGCTCACTCAGGCATTCATTGGCTGATTCTTGTATGTGCCCTGCCCGGAGACCCAACTCAGAACCTTGGCAAAAGCGGGCGATGCTCTAACCAACTGAGGTATCCAGCCAAGGCTATTCATTTTTATTATGTATCTGTCGCTGGTGGACAGGCAAAATGTTTATCCCTATTTCTTTTCAAATAGAAAATGTACTAATTTAGCTCCATAAATAATAGAAGAGACAATGACATTTAATCATCAGCAACCAAGGTCGGACCCATCAAATCATGTTTTCCACAAAGCACTGATAAGGCATCTTGGCTCTAGATGAAGAGTCACTACAAAACCAACTGGCCTCAGAAAGCCAGGGACTGGTCTAAGCAGTACTGTCCAGACCCTACCTTCCTCTCCCCTTGCTAACAACTAAATTTTACATGTGCCTGGCTCCCCAACCACCAAAGTATATTAATCTGCTTTAAAAAAAAATCTTGGTACAGCATACATTATTTAGAAATCCACAGACCCTGTCACTGCTATTATTGAATGTTA